GGTTGCAATCTTTCTCTGACGCCCATGCGACGACACGCGCTGGTCGTCTGGCTCGTCGGCGCCGCCGCCGCCTTTGACGCGGACGAGTGGGCCGACTTCCCCGCCTACTGCGCCAAGCATGTCGAGAAGAACATCATCGCGCCGCTACCCAGCGCCGACCGGTACGTCCTCGACCAAGTCCAGATTGCGATCCGCCATGGCGCTCGGACGCTCGTGCAGCGATCGACGTGCTGGAGCGGCTACAACGCCACGTGGAACTGCAATGCGCGCAACCACATTGTGCGTACTTGGCGCGACAGCAGCGAAGGCTCATGCGCACGTAGGAGCCGGCGCTTGGTCCGTCGACGCATCGGAGCTTTGACGTGCAGTACACGCCCGGCGAGACCGTGCTCCGTGGCACGTGCCAAGTTGGCCAGCTCCTCGACGAAGGCTACCGACAAGAGACAACCAACGGCCAGTACGTCTCGACGCATCGCTACGCGAACCCATAGACTCGTAGGCACTTCCACGACGCGTACATCGCCTCAGGCCGCCTCTTCCCCAAGGACACGCCTGCCGACCTCGCCGACCCCACGAGTACGTTCCTCTCTCTGCTCTAAATGTGTTTTCACTGCAATCGGCATGCGTAGATGTCTACCTGAGCAGCACGGACATGCAACGAACCGTCATGTCCGGACAGCTCGTCGTCGACGCCATGTTCCCGATGCCAGCCACCACGCCAGCATTGGTTCCTTGGCACGTTGGCGACGTGAGTCAGTCATCCTTCATCCCCAATCCCTTTGCGTGTCCCCGTCTCGGTGACATCAAGGACGCATTCGAGGCGAGCGACGGGTACCGCCTCTGGTTGCACATGCACGACGAGCTCGTCGCGACGATGCACGCGACGTTCCCCAACTACGATCCGAAAGGGCTTTTCGACTGCATGCTCACGGCGCGCTGCAGCCTCACGCGCCATGACATGCCATTGCCGCTCACGCCGTCGCACTACAAGGACATCATCCGCTTCGAGCGGGACAAGCGAATGAAGATCTACACGGAAGACGACGAGTACGCCAAGCTGAGCATGAGCAAGCTCCTCCGCAGCGTCCGCGCCAAGATGCAAGCCAAATCGCCCACGTTTGTCCTCTACTCGGGTAAGGGTAGTAGCGTCAAAGGTGCAGAACCCAGTAAGTATGGACTAGGCCATGACGATACGGTCATGCCGATTCTGGCCGCGATCGGAGGCGCCGACTGGCTCCGCGACTGGCCGCCGTACGCGGCGTTTGTCGCGTTTGAGGTCTACACTGAAGTAGCCACCACGACGCGCTTCGTGCGTGTAGTCTACCAAGGCCAGCCGCTCACGCTTCCCGGGTGTACTGCCGGTGCAGTCTCTACGTTGCGCTCGTATTCGATTGACCATTGGCATTCTTTAGACGCGCTCTGCCCACTGAGTCTCTTTCTCGAGTGGACATCGTTCGCCGAGACAGCCGACTGCACGCGGTCGACCCACCCAGGTTGATAAATTGATATTTTCAAAAATATTTAAAAGCGTGGCGTAGCGCTCGAGACGCCCGAGCCTGTGCCCGCAAAGGATGCCGGCGTCTCGATCACGGACGCGTCGGGGTCGCACGTGAGCGTCGACACGTTCCTTGTCTGCGTCGTCGTCGGCGTGCTCTTGGGCTTTGTCTTTGGCCTGCTCGTCGCCAAGGTCGTGCGACAGACCGAGGCGAGCGATAAGAAGACCGAGAAGCTGCATTTGGACGCAGCGGCTGCAGACGACGACGAAACCGGCGGCCTCCTGCCAGCAGCCACTTCTGAACCGAGCAGCCCGACGGTCGCGATGGCCAAGAAGAAATGACGCCGGGTGGGCGACACCGACGTCCGAGGCCCTCCCGTGTAGATCCACCAGCAGCATCCAACAACACGCATCAACATGTGCACTGGATTAGCGTATTACACGTACACTTCGTTGCGGTTGAGGAGACTCTCGCGCTTGGGGTCGTCGCTCGCATCGGGCTCGGTCGTGAGGAGGTACGCCTGGATCACAAACGGAAAGAAGAGGAGCGCAAAGGCGCCTTGGGCGAGCACGAACGCAGTCCCGACCATGGGCACACCGCCCGCAAAGCCGTCAAAGATGCGCGAGAGCTGCGTCGTCGCGCAGGCCTCGGGCACAAGGGTGCTCGAGTGCAGCGTGCACGGGTGCGTCTCGCCGGTCGTTGCGTTTGTGAACGTCTGGTGGCCAAACGTCGCGTACTGTGGCGCGAGCGTGAGGAGCGAGAAGAGGCCCATGAGCGAGAGGTAGATCATGGCGAGCGTGGCGAGGATCAAGGTCGATGGCGCCGTGTTGCGGCGCTGGAGGCGGTCCATGCGGAAGCAAAGAAACTTGAACCCGTGCCGGCTGAGCCACAAGAACGCCGACACGAAGATGTAGAAGAAAAAGCACGCAAAGAGCGCGTAGTCGAGCGGGAAGACCTTGGAACTCAGCACGAGCACGAGGTCGATCGGGTTGGGGATTTGCGGCGTCTCGAGCACAAAGCCTACGGATACGTCTGTGGCATCATTGCTCTTTGGGTGAGAGAGATACCCGAGTCGTAGTGGCCGTGCATGAGCTTGTCGATCGTCGTCAGCAAGAGCGAAAACACAATCAGCAGCGAGACAACCATCAAGACGGCGCCGATCGGGATGCGCCACACCATCGACGTGCAGCAGACCCACTGCGTACGCTGCTTGGCAAACACGCGCCGGCGATCCAAAAGCACTTGATCGCGCTTCTTGAGCTCTTCGAGGCGGTCGCGGTCCGAAGCCGACATGGTGCTGTCCGACGACGTGTATTTGCGCATGACAGTCTGGCGCGACCGCTCGACAGCGTGCGTCTCGAGCTCGATCTCTTCCATAAGGTAGCTCAGCGCGGCGCGGTCGTGGCGGCGCGGACGCAGGAGGCCGTCGACCGGGATCGAAGCGATCGCGCGGCCGGCGAGCCAGATCCAGAGCACTGAGCCGATGCAGAGCACGAGGCCGAGGAAGACGCGGAAGATGAGCGTCGCGTCGTCGTCCAAATGCAGGAGTGGCTTGAGCCAGTCGACGTCGGCGCGCGGTTTACCGCACAAGACAACGATGAGCACGATTGTGACGAGGATGAGCATGAAGCAGAGGAAGCACGCGGTGCGCTTCAGCGCCGCCACGACGCGGCGCGAGGTCGTCGCGCGCGTAATGTGCTGGATCTCGCTCTGCTTGGCGTAAAAGAAGGCAAACGGCGAGAAGAGCAGAGAGAAGTTGAGGAGCATCACAAGCAGCACGTCGTAGACGATGCCCATGGCCTTGGCCTGGTTGAGGTGGCGCGTCGTCGTCACGTACACGTCAACAGGTGGCGTGAAGATGCAGAGGAGCGCGAAGAAGAGCGAGAGGATGCTCATGATGCGCGAGAGCTTGTCGGGCTGGCTGAAGACGAGCCCTTCGCTTGCGGGCGTCGGGCGCACCTCGAGCTTGGTCACAATAAGATAACTCAGCACGTAGAGGAAGAGCGCGACGCCCGCATAGAGCGCGTAGATGCCGTAGGTGCCGTAGACGTCCGCCGTCGTCATCGTCGCTGGGAGCCTTCGGATCTTGCCCCGGCAATCCTGCAACGAAATGTAGCCAATCGCAGGTCGCGGCAACGGGCTTTTTAACCAATCCAGACCCAAGACACCCTTCAACGGCTGCCTTGCCCATCTGAGCAGTGTTCTCCCACGCCGAAGCACCGGCCTTGACCAAGTCGGTTGAGTTTGCACTTGGCTCGTATCAAGTTGATAGTGTACGGCCGGCGACTTCAATGTGACCAAGCTGACAAGCAAAGCGTCCATGTGGGGCGCAGCAAAACGGCCGTGCACGTGGTCCGGACGCCCCCCACCGGCTGGTTGTTTTGGGTGCCCCCCCTACACCCACAATAGAATTCGTTTTGCGAGTTGCATACAAGCACCAAGTGACTTGGATCTTTAAAATGAGGCGGGAGAAAGGCGGGTACCGAACGGTCTGGATCGTGGGTCTCTCCCGTGACAAACGGCCGCCGGAGCGCGCACTTGGCAACTTGCGATGAAGCTATGGAAGAAGCTCAGTGGCATGGGCGTCGCCGCCGTCCTCATGGCCGCCAGTAACCTCTGCATCAACGCCTCCAAGGTCGACGGCAAGATGCTCTACGTGGCGCTCACCGTCACGTTCCTCGTCGAAGCGCTCAAGCTCGCATCGTGCATCGCGGTGCTCGTCGCGTCGCCGCCAACCTCGCGCCTCTGGCTCGGCTGGAAGGAAGCCATGTACTTTGCCGCGCCGGCGCTGTTGTACACGATCGACAACAACCTCGCGTTTGTCATCCTGCGCTTCATTGACCCGGCGACGCTCTCGATCCTTTGGAACCTCAAGATCCTCACGACAGCCGCTCTCTTCCGCTTCGTCTTGGGCCACAAGCTCGGGAAGCTGCAGGTCATCGCGCTCATGCTGCTCGTGCTCGGCGTCATTACAAGCCAGAGCAACCACGCCGTGCACCGCGGCGTCCAGCGCGTCGTGAACGGCACGACCTCGATGGCGGCCGTCGAGCTCGACGAGCGCACCAAGTTTATGCTGGGCATCGCGCTTGTGGCGCTCGGGTGCACGATCTCGTCCTTTGCCGGCATTCTCTCCGAGTACGCGCTCAAGAAGCACCCCGCGACGCCGTTCTTTGTCCAGAACGGCTACATGTACAGTTTTGGCCTCCTCTTCAACTCGATCGGGCTCCTCGCGTCGGCGCAAACTACGATCGCGGCCAACGGCTTCTTTGACGGCTACAATAGCTGGACGTGGTCCGTCGTCTTCATCCAGGCGCTCGCGGGCCTCATGATGGGCTTCATCTTCAAGTACCTCGACAACATTGTGTGCGTCTACACCCACGTGGTCGCGATGCTACTCACGATGCTCGTCTCGATCCTCTTCTTTGCCTTTGAGCTCACGCTCGAGTTTGCGTGCGGCTTTGGCGTCTGCGCCATCTCCATGTACCTCTACCACATGCCCAGCCCTGGCGACGCGACCGCGCCTTGCCACGGCACGGCCACCTCGTCGAGCGACGAAGAATACGAAAAGGTCGCCATGGTCAGCGACCATTCGTGCCGCAGCAGTGACGCGACCACGGTCGGAAGCCCCCACCGCCGAGACACTTTGCGCGACGACGACGACGAGGTGTAGAATAACTTAATACCAAATGCGTGGCGGGTGTGACGTGGCACGTTCTGGCTGGCGAGTACTGTAGATGCTGCGTCAGAAGTATCTTGGACGGCAAAAAAGACGAGCTCCACTGTCGTCGTCAACACGCGAAAAGACAGCCTTGTACATCAACGTGTACAGCTACAGAGCGGCGACAGCGCCACACAAGTGCACGCGACCTGCAATCGGCGGTGGGGGACGACCGAGAGTCGCCCGCGGACTCGAGTGTGAGTGTGTGTTGGACACACATGTGCGTCGTATCTTCGAAACCAAACTTCGAAGTGGGCGTTGGCCAATCCGAGGGCGGCGCGGGCCGCCAGCGCTTTGTTGCGCACATTGCCTTTGGCACCCAAGACGCATGGCCGCGCCCATCTCGGAAGACCTCTACGAGCTGCTCGAGGTCGAGCGCTCGGCGTCGGAGGCCGAGATCCGGTCGAGCTACCGCAAGCTCGCGCTCAAGTACCACCCGGACCGCAACCACGGCACGCCCGGCGCCGAAGAGCACTTCAAGAAGCTCGCGACCGCGTACGCAGTGCTCTCGGACGCCAAGCAGCGCCGTGTGTACGACGTGTCGAGCAAGGACGGCACTCCGGACGCTGCGCTTGCCGCGTTCCAGGGCCTGCAGCCCATCGACGTCAACGAGATGAACAGCCTCGGGCGCATGCTCGGGTACCGCTGCCCACGTACTAGTACACGACGTGATCTCATGCATCTTCTGTAGCGCGCTCTGCTCCAAAATGGGCATTCCACTTCCAACGCAAATCAGTGCAAATGTTCTCGCCGCTGCCCACGGTACGCAACTATCTCACGCGAATGGAGGTTGTCAACCTGCTTGCTAGACGCCGTCAAAGGCATCGGTATCGTCAAGGACCTCGCCATGGGTCTCGAAGCCTCTGGGCGCGTCGAGAAACAAGAAGCGCACTTCTTTCGCCTCACGATCGGCGACGTGCCGCCCACTGGCATCGTCATTAGCTGCCGCGCGGCACCCAAGAGCAAGTTCAAGCTCATCCTCTTCGACTCGGACGGCGGCGTGCGCCACGTGCAAGAGTGCGGACCACGCTCCAAGTACACGTCAGCCGACATCTTTATGACATCGGTGCGTCCCTTCAGTATGTGCTAGTAGATCTGATAGGCGTCAAGTAGATGGAGTTTATGGACATGAACGAGTCCTGGAAGTTCTTGACCGAGCAAGAGAAGGCATTGCCCGAGGTCTTCTCGAGCTTGACGACGCTCGAGCTCATGCAAACGCCGCACTTGGGCGCTGGCAGCCACCTCTTTGCAGTCTATGGCGACAATTGGTTCTCGGCGCTCAACTACACGGTGCAGTGCACCGTCATCCAAGCGACGAGCGCCACCAACATCCAGCTCACCGAGGCCGAGATGCTGCATTTGCGCAAGGACATTGATGCGTTTCAGGCCGAGTTTGTCGCGGCGCAAAAAGCCTTTGAAGCGGTCGTCGCCAAGGCCAACGACTACGACGTGCGCACAAAGGAGCTCCTCCAGGCTCGGCGGTGTGCATACGAAACCTTCTTTCAAGAGTGCGCCGAGCCGTACAAGGCGATGCAGCCCGCGCGTGAGCGCCGCGATTCGGCGCCCTCGGCCTTTCAGAACCTCTGGTCGCGCTTTACCGAGCCCAAGGAGCCTCCGAAGCGCAACGAGTTTTAGCATCGCCACTGTAACATTCTTTGCATTACTTGGCTTTCGACAGACGGTTGCGCGCGCGGCGCTCCGCATCGAGCTTCTTCTCGTGCGCGATGTGCGCCTTGACGGCGTTACTGAGCCACTTGCCGTGCTCCGCGTTGCCGTTGCAGATCATGTTGAAGCTAACGATACGTGAGTCAAGATCTACGATCCGGGACATACCGCGCCGGAGGGTAGCGGAGCAGAGCCGCGCCAGTCATCACAGACTTGATGTTGGACGCATACGATGCGAGAGCGCCCTTCTTGATGGACGGAAGCCAAGCTTGGACCTGCGCTGCGTCCCACGTTTTGAAAAGGGACACCGTGGAGATTTCGTCCTCGATGATTTCTTTGGTCGTCCGCGTGACGTGCGGCGCCGACTCGACCATTTGCCGGGCGTGAATCAAGGACGTCAGTGTGTGTTCCGTGTCTATTCGCACCAATGTTGTGTTGATAACGAATGGCTTTAACGGAACTACCTGTGGGGATCGGTGACGCAGTTACCACGACAGCGGTCTTGCTTTGCTTGGTCGTCGACCACAAATGGTTCTTTAAGATGCGCGTGAGAGCGCTGTTGCGGTACGGGATGTGGCCCGGCGGGTCCTGGGACATGGCGAGCAAGCACTGCTTGAGCGCCAAGTGCGCCATGTTGGTATCGATGGTTTCTTGGTGTCGGGCCTTGTCGGTGAAGTACTGATCTTCCTTGCGCTCACTACAAGATGAGGATAGGTATCTGAAGATGCAAGCATTTGTACCTTCCGGCCAAGTCGAGCAACACGAGCTGCCCGTTGGACGCGACGCCGTCGCTCGAGACGATTTGGAGAAAACAAATCAAGTGCGATCGCGACGATACGGCGTTCACTTGCGTGGCTTCGGTCGTTCGGTTGCTCGTAGCGTCCTGGAAAAGGTCGAGGAGCTCGGCCGCAGATCGAGCCAACTGGCTTTCCGAGTGCACCAGTTCGATGTCGCCGCTGTTGCTTTCGCAGATCAGCACCTTGTTGCGGTCGTGCAAGAGATCTAAAACACACGTTATCTCGGTGCATTTTCTAGAGGCCAGCGTACCGACGCACTTGGACCCGACGAGCTCGACGGCCTTGAAGTTAATCGCTTGGTCCGGCTCGTTGAAGATGTCGTCAGCTAGATGCGTAAGGAAGCCGAGCATGGTGTGGGTCTTCCCCGACCCCGTTTGCCCGTACCTATGTCGCTACATCATACCGCCATGCAGCAGACGAGTGAAGGGGTACATCATGCAGACGGCCTCGCCTCCGGAAAGGGCGTGCTCGACCAAGGGCTTGGCCGCCGACGAGTACACGACAGGCGTTGGTGTGTGCTCGTCAAAGACCTTGGTGAACGAGTGGGCATGCGTGTCGATGTACTTGTGAACCATGTCTATGGGAACACGTCGTCTCCTGGACGGGCACTCGTGTTCCGGTACCGTTGTGCATCAAGCAGTCGTGGACGGCCATGGTCTGGTCGTCGATGCACGAGATGGTCGTGTACTCTCCGCGCTCAACTTCGTGGGGAAGCATCGGGCGGACGCGCGCGTAGACGTCAATGTACTGCGTCGTCTTGGCCCGCTTCGCATCGGCGATCCGCTCGTCCTGCGCATAGGACTCGCGGAGCTCGCGGATCGCTTCCTGGAAGACAGCAGCATGGCGCGTCCGAGCAGTTCTACATGCAGCCTCGTCAACCTTCCGTCTTGGTCTCCATGCTCACCGCTTGTCGAGGTTCTTCCGCGTGTCCCCCTTGTCCGTCATGACCAAAGTTGAGTTGTGAAATCCTCGGCGGTGGGAAGCGGCTAGAGTGTTGGTCATCGTCGGCAGGTGGCTTGACTTAACAGCAACCGGCTGATGTTAGTGCAGGGTCGGAGAGCACGGTCATGACGCCCTTCTCAGCAATCGAGAATGTATGTCATTTTATCACGGGCTTTTTTGGCCCACACCTCCGTGGGCACAAGGACAAGTCGCGCGTTGTCAGCAAGCACGTTGTTATTGGCTGCACGATTAGCCTATAGTCCACGCGGCAGTAAACATGGCGGAGCAGTCTCTCCCACACCCCGTAGTGTGATCATCATTCTGGCTCAACTTAACGGCGACCATACAACACGCAAGTAAATTGGTGCGTAACCTTTGCTCTACAAATGCCAAGTGAATCTCTCGACCAATCCTGGCGCACTTCTGTTGGGTCATCCGGATAACATGCGGACAATGACTGCCAGCCCTTTTTACATGGTGGAGCCGTCGCCGGAGAAGAGCCAAATACCTTCCAGCCTGCGTTGCCATGAAGAGCTACATCCGCGAAGCCTCCCGCCGGGCGAAGGACCCATCGCTCGGCTTGCCCAAGCTAATCTACTCGGTCAACCTTGACCGTGTGTACGTGCTACACTAGGCCTCGCGTCGGCTCATGCGCATCTTGTAGCGGCGAGTACTTGAAGTCCAAGTTCCTGCCACTCGACTGCGATGACGAGACGCAAGAGTTCCTCAACGTCCGCTGGAATATGGTTGGCGCCAGCAAGGCTTCATGCAGCTGTGGCGTAGAGCTGCCACGATACGAGTATGTTCCGCACAGTCGCCTCGCGCTTCCTCAACATGTTCTACTCGGTGACCGACACCAATGGCATGCTTGGCCGTACGAGTCCATCGACGCATTTGCAGAGCTGGATCGGTTCTGCGTAGGTGGTCAAATGTTTGTCTTCTCGCGCGCCCACGCCCAGAGCATGTTTGCGTTCCCGGACAACAAGTGCGGTGGTACGTCGTGCCGACGCGTGCTGCATCATGTACGCTGCCTCGTAGGTAAGCTGCTCGACATTGGCGCGGGCGACGGCAACGTTACGGAGCGCTTGGCGCCGTTCGTCGACGAGATTCGCACCACCGAGGTGTCGCTGCCCATGGTCAAGGTGCTCAACGCCAAGGGCTTCAAGTGCGTTTTTTACGGGGGACGTCTCTTGCTCATAATGACTAATGACTAGCTGCACGCACACGACGGACCTCTCGCACCCCGACATTGCGACCAACGGACCGTACCATATCATTAGGTTTGGACGGTGGTCGCCTATATCGAGATGACAGACAACGTCGTTAGCTTGCTCAACGTGCTCGACCGCGCCGACACACCGCTGACACTTCTGCGTCAGATCCACGACCTTCTCCACCCAGATGTACGCTTGTGGTCGAAGTGCTTGGCGCCAATGGACCGTAGGGTGTGCTCTTGATTGCCGTCGTCTTGCCCTTCTCCGCCTTGTACGCCACTCCTCATCCGCCCGCGAATGGTGCTCATGCGGCGATTGTCTGTAGCGTCGAGGTCGGAACGCAGAAGCTACCGCCGAGCGAGCCCTTGCCCATGGACGGCGGTCTCTGCAGAGAACGCGCGTCCTTTGAAGACGCAGCGCGCATCATGGCCGACCGCGTCTTCTCGCCCAACGGCTTCAAGGTCAAGAGCTTCAGCCGGGTCCCGTACCTCTGCCGCGGCGACATCTCGCAGCCCTACTACGTGCTCTGCGATGCGCTCTTTACGCTTGAGAAGAAGAAGCCTAAGAAGAAGACGAAGAACTAGTTGCAGTTGGTAGAAATGTACTAGTAGTTGAAGTTGCCAGCACCGGCATCTGGGCCGCCTTTTTACTACGGCGGCGCCCCGGGGCGTCCTGGGCCCAGAGTCAGATGCTCGCATACAGTTGCGATCTTGCTTTTTGTATGCAGTGGGACCATCGGCAGGCCTGGAGCACGCACAGGTGCGCCCACAGCGCCGCACGGTTGTGCGACCATCGCGACCAGATGCACTCGGTACTCGATGCAGCGTCCCAGTGCAGTGTGAGCAAGCAGAACAATGTCATCGTCAGCATCCCCGAGGTTAGGGCCAGGCCTTGATATCGCGCATCGATATTCGGGCCCCGGGTATCCGGTCGTGGGGCCGGAACAAGATGTGCAAGTTGTTTCCATCGAAAGATATCTGAGTTTCGATTTTGCAGTTGATCACCATGGGCTTCCTCTTCTACGTCAACGGGCAGCGCGACGAGGTCGCCAACGTCGCGCCGGAAGAGACGCTGCTCAACTACCTCCGCAACAAGAAGCGGCTCACGGGCACAAAGCTCGGCTGCGGCGAAGGCGGTTGCGGCGCGTGCAGCGTCATTGTCTCGCGCATGAACCCCGAGACCAAGGCGGTGACGCACGCAGCCGTGAACGCGTGCTTGACGCCGCTCTGTGCAGTCGAAGGCTGCGCGGTCACGACGGTCGAAGGGCTGCGCGAACCGTCGACGCAGCAGCTGCACCCAGTGCAAACCGCGATCGCCGAGAACCACGGCTCGCAATGCGGCTTTTGCACGCCCGGCATCGTCATGGCGCTGACGGCGATCGTTCAAGACGACCATGCGACGATGGAGACGATCGAGCACAAGATGGACGGCAACCTCTGCCGCTGCACGGGGTACCGCCCGCTTCTCGACGCGGCCAAGTCGTTTGGTAGCGACGCAGCGGCGCACGTACAATGCGGCTCGGCGGCATGCGACCAGCATTGCATGACGGGCGACATCGAAGACATCCTCTCTGTTGTCTCGTGCAGCGCCAAGAAGATCCAAGCCGAGCACAAGAAGCACAAGCACGCGATTCCGAAGGTCGCCTTTCCGCAGGAGCTCGTGACCCACACGGCGACGCTCGCAGCGCAGAGCACGACAATTGTCGGGAGCCATGTGCGCTGGCTGCGTCCGTCGTCGCTGACAGAGCTGCTGCAGTGGAAAGAAGAGTTTCCGCACGCCAAGATCTCGGTCGGCAACACGGAGCTCGGCATTGAAGTCAAGTTCAAGCGCATGGAGTACCCTGTCATGCTCTCGGTCAGCCACGTGCCCGAGCTCCACGTGCTCGAGCTTATCACGGCGCCATTTGCTGGCGTTCGCCTCGGCGCGGCCGCGTCGCTCACCCGCATCGTCGACTTTTGCAAGACCACGAGTGTGCTCCCGACGCAGCAGCGCGCGCTTGTCGCGATGCGGTCGATGCTCAAGTGGTTTGCGTCGCTCCAAATCCGCAACGTCGCGTGCTTGGGCGGCAACCTCGCGACCGCGAGCCCGATCGGCGACATGAACCCGCTCCTCTCGAGCCTCGGCGCCGTCCTCGAAGTCGCGTCGGCGACAGGACGCCGTATGGTGCCGGTCGCGGACCTCGTCGTCGCCTACCGCAAGGTCGGCCTGCGAGGCGACGAAGTGCTGCTGAGCGTGCTCGTGCCGTTCACGCGCGAGCATGAATACGTCTTCCCGTTCAAGCAAGCCAAGCGCCGCGAAGACGACATTAGTATCGTCACTGCCGGGCTTCGCTTCCAGCTCGGATCCCACGCACATGGTTGGCGCATCGACGACTGCAGCCTCTTTTACGGTATGCCGTACATTGAAGCCAAAGTTGAGGTCCGCTAGGTGGCATGGGCCCGACGCCCAAGCGTGCGCTCGAGACCGAGGCGCGTCTACGCGGCTCGGCCTTTACCAAAGACAGCGTCGAGGCCGCGTGCAATGTGCTACGCCGTGAGCTGCAGCTGCCAGTGACCGTGCCCGGCGGCCTCGCCGCGTACCGCACGACACTGAGCGTCTCGTTCCTCTACAAGGCGTTTCTGCAAGTGGCCAAAGCCCTCGCGAATGACACGTCATCACCGACGTCGCCATGGGTATGTCATGCTGACATTCCCACCCAAAGACTATGATATCGTATTAGATGACGCTGGACGCACGCGAGTACTCGGGCGCAACATCGTACATGAACGTGCCGCGGCCTCTCTCGCGCGGCACACAGCGCTTTGGCATTGAGAAAGGCGGTCTTCTCTCGTCGAAAATGGCGCTGTTGCCGACCCAAGACCGGTCGCCCGTGGGCAACCCGCTCATGCACCGGTCCGCGTACCTCCAAGTGTCGGGCGAGGCCAAGTACGTCGACGACATGGACGACGTACACAACGTGCTCCACGGCGCGCTCGTGCTCTCGACGATCGCCCACGGCGACATCCAGCGCATCGATCCGTCGGTCGCGCTGACCATGCCAGGCGTCGTCTCGTTCCTGGACGCGTCCGTCTTTGAAAAGCTCACGCAAAATGCCCTCGGCCCTGTCATCCACGACGAAGAGTGCTTCGCCTCGAAGAGCGTCGTCTCGATGGGGCAGCCGATCGGCATTGTGCTCGCGACGTCGCACGAAGCCGCGCACGCGGCCGCTGACAAGGTCCTTGTCGAGTACACGCCGCGTCCGTCTATCGTATCCATCAAAGAGGCAGTGGCCGCCAACGCCTTCCACACCAAAGGCCACACGCTCGTCCGAGGCGACGTTTGTGCGGGCCTCGCGCAAAGCGACGTGGTGGTGCACGGCGAGATGTACATGGGCGGCCAAGAACACTTTTACTTTGAGACGCAAGCGTGCTACGTCACTCCGATGGAAGACGGCGCCATGCACGTCGTGAGCTCGACCCAAGCGACGACCAAGACGCAAATGTGCGTCGCCGCCTGCCTCGGCGTGCCCGCGCACAAGATCGTCTCGAGCGTCAAGCGCATGGGCGGTGGCTTTGGCGGCAAGGAAACGCGCAGCGTCTTTGTGGCGTGCGCGGCGGCGGTCGCGGCCAAGGCGCTCAAGCGCCCGGTGCGCCTGCTACTGGAGCGGCAGGCCGACATGGCCACGACCGGCGGGCGACACCCGTACTACGCCAAGTACACGGTCGGCGCGACACAGGACGGGCGATTGCAAGCATACGAGGTGGAGCTCTTCAACAATGCGGGCTACTCGCTCGATCTGAGCGAGGCGGTCATGGACCGCGCGCTCTTCCACTGCGAGAATGCGTATTACGTTCCCAATATGACGGCCAAGGGCCTCTGCTGCAAGACAAATTTGCCGACGAACACGGCGTTTCGAGGCTTTGGCGCACCCCAAGGTCCATCTACCTATCTGCGGCTAGTATGATGATGCTGATGATCACTAGGCATGATGATGGCCGAGACGATGATGGACCACGTGGCGTCCGTGCTGCGCATGGACCCGGTCGAGCTCCGAACGCGCAACTTGTACCAGGAGGGGCATGTGACACACTACGGCCAGCGCCTCGTCGACTACACGCTGCCGGCGCTCTGGGCCCGCGGGCTGCGCGAGAGTCAATATGCCGAGCGCTCGGCGGCCGTCGCGGCCTTCAACCGCGCGCACGTGTGGAAGAAGCGGGGCCTCGCGATCCTCCCGACCAAGTTCGGCATCAGCTTCACCAACAAGTTTATGAACCAAGGCGGGTCGCTCGTGCACGTGTACGCTGACGGCAGCGTGCTCGTCTCGCACGGCGGCACCGAGATGGGCCAAGGCCTCCACACCAAGATCATGCAGATCGGTACCTTCGATACATTCGCACGATCCAAACTGAACTACGCTCCTAGTTGCCAAGTCGTTTGCAATCCCGATGGACGCCGTTACGATCCACGAGACGTCGACCGACAAGGTGGCCAACTCGCAGCCGTCGGCCGCGTCCATGAGCACCGACCTCTACGGCATGGCGACGCTGGACGCGTGCGAGCAGATCCTAGCCCGTCTGGCGCCTGTGCTGGCCAAGCTCGGACCCGACGCAGCCTTTGCCGACGTGATCAAAGCTGCGTATTTCGACCGGATCGACCTCTCAGCCCATGGCTTTTACATTGTGCCAAATGAAAACTGTGGGTACGATTGGTCCAAGCCCGTGGAGGCGCAGACCAGCACGGCGTTCAACTACTACACAACCGGCGTCGCGTGCACCGAAGTCGAGCTCGACGTGCTCACGGGCGACGTGCACATGACCCAAGTGGACATTTACATGGACGTTGGCGCGTCCATCAACCCGGCGATCGACATTGGCCAGATCGAAGGCGCGTTTTTGCAGGGCTTTGGGCTCTTTTGCATGGAAGAGCACGTGTGGGGCGATGAGAACCGGCCGTGGCTGCCGCGCGGCGGCCTCTTCACGCGCGGCCCGGGCACGTACAAGATCCCGTCCTTCAACGACGTGCCGCTGCAGATGAACGTGTGGCTCGAACCGCAGTTGAAGAACAAACTCGCGGTGCACTCGTCGAAAGCCATTGGCGAGCCGCCGCTCTTCCTCGGCGCCACCGCGTTCTTCGCCATCAAGGCCGCCATTGCCGCCGCGCGGGCCGAGCACACGACCGACACCGAGTATTGGACGCTGCATGCACCGGTGACGTCGGAGCGCGCGCGCATGGCCGTCCACGACCGGTTCTGCTCCGACACGCCCATTCCGCTCGGCTGCTTTTAACGAAAAGACAATACTAGGGTCAACCTCGGGTTTTCTCAAGACAGGTTTTGGTCGAGCTCTTTGGTGGAGGTCTTGCATTGGCGTAGCGCTACGTGTGACGTACTTTGGACTCGTACGTTGATGTCATTCCGTGTGCAGCAGCACCACGCACTGCAAGAGCTGTGGAATGGGCGGTACTTGGTGGAGGCCACTGCGGGCTTTTCGTACTTGATATGACGGCTCTGGTGCGACCAATGCGACGATTATAACGTCGGACGCCAGGGCCAGAAGAAAGATGATGTGGACGAGAAGATCTGGCGAGTGCCTGTAGTCCAAGCAGCTCGCTGTTGTCGACGCGGTCCTTGGTAATATAGGAATGTGCTCGGCACAGACGTCAATGTATTAACTTTACCACCACCATTGGCGACACGACAGTACGACGGGTGTTTCGGCCGCCATCGCACAACCTTGCTAGCCGATGACGGAGTGCGATAAATAAGCACGGGCACTGTCTTACGCGAACTTCTCCGAGTGGTACTCGAAGGACGTGCCCTCTGGTGTCGAGTACTTGCGGCACATGGCCGACAAGATCGCGTCGAGCGCGTGCGGGCCGCAGAAGAAGACGCCGATGCGCTCGCCGCTGTGAGTCCGCGCCATCGAGCGAAACCAATGGTCCCAATCCGGTCGGCCAAAGTGCGTGAGCTGCTTGAGTCCCGACACGACGTCGTTGCCCGTCGTGTCGTGCACGAACGCCTGGAAGAGCTTGAGGGTCTCGTTCGCGGCCACCGACGTCAAGTGGTGGTGCGTCTCGATGACGCCGTCACGGTCCAGCGCGTGGATCTCGTTCATCGTGTGGCTGAACCACGTCAGCGCCTCCTGCTGCCGCGTGACCCAGTGAAAGTACATCTTGCGGAGCTTCATGTTGGGCGGCGCGCGGCAAAAGGCGCAGTTCGGACACCGCGACGCGTTCCACTGGTGCACCGTGTCCTTGAGAATCGACGCGAACGGCGTGACGCCGATGCCACCGCCGATCATGACGACGGTCGCGTACCGGTGATACGCCTGCGTCGGCGCACCGACGGGACCGTCGAGATATACGGTGGGGAACGCAAGGCCCTCGGTATTGCAGTGGCTCAAGAGAGCGTGGAGCGCGCTCGTCCAGTCGCCGGCGTTGCGGATGTGGAGACTCACGTGGTCGTCGTCGGGCGCCGACGAGATCGTGAATGGGTGCCACTCGTGCTGCGAGAGCTTCGGGACGTTTAGGAACGTGTACATGCCCGGGTTGTACTCAAAGCGCGCGGGCTTTTCGAGGAAGAGCGCGACGACGCCGTCGAGGAACTCGACGCGAAGGATCTTGAGCGGCGTCGTCCAGCTTTTCGCAAAGCGGAAGCGGCGCTCGACGAGGTAGACGCTGAGCGGCGGGAGGATCCAGAGGTACGACTGCGCCTTCGAGAGCCAGGACGTAGCGCCGTGGATGCTCCCGAGCAGCAAGAACGGGCCGAGCAGCATGTGGCTGAACCAAAAGAGGTTGAAGCGACCCTGTCGAAAGCGTGGAATCAGCGACAGCGGCAGCACAACAAGCGCGATGAGGAGCATGAAGACGCCCGTCACGACGGGGATGGTACACAGCATGTGGGCGAACGGCATCATGATCGGCGCGCCGTCCGGAGTCCGCAGCGTTGAGACGTGGGCGACAAGGAACGAGTCGGCAATCTCCTCGGGCGTCGCGAGCAGATAGACCGCGACCTCGTTGTAGACGTGGGCGCCCGTGTGTACGAGGCCAGCGACGAGCGCGACCGTGCCCGCGATGCGGTGGAACGCGAGGAGGTCGTCGAACGGGACGTAGCGCCAGAGGAGCTTGCTCTGCTTGAGAACTTCGAGGATCGATCGGCACATGGGCAAGAGCGCGAGGAGAAAGTTGGGCATCGCGACCTGCGCCGCACCGCGCGCAATCCGCAGCGCCCAGCCGGTCGCCGAGTCGACGGGGTATTGCGCCATCTTTTGGATCGCCTCGGCCGCAATGAAGACCACGTACGCCGTGAGCCACCAAATGCGCAGCGTGTGGTTGCGGTACAACGTCTTGGCCCGCGATAGGACGCTGTAGCGGGACGGCGCGGGCGATGGTTTGGCGCCCCGCGACCGCGACGTCTCGACCGTCGTCGTGGCTTCGTGGAGGTAGCCGCGGAATACGAGGTGGAACTGGGCAAAGCTCATGTGGCTCGCACTGCGCGCGCCGGCTTTGGCAAAGAGCATGTCGGCCATCGCATCGAAATCGGACCCGACACCTAACCACTTTAGTTAGTCGACATTCAGTAAAGTCTGTTGTAGTACATTGGAGCTTCTCGGCCTGGAACTTGGACTGCAGCAAGTCGGCAATGTTGCTTCGGTCGATGCGCCCGGTGCCACCCACGTCCATCGTGTCAAAGAGAAGGCGCAGCTTTGTGTCGTCTTCTACCGGAAGCTCCATGGCCGCGTTGAAGAGCACGGAACAGCCTCGGATCGACTGCACGGCGGACGGGAGCTCGACCTCGAACGTACTCACAAAGGTGGCGCGGTTGATGCGCCCGTTGGCGTCGGTGACCGAGGCGACGACGCGCTTGAGCGCCTGAAAGTGCTCGATCGGGTCGTCGTCGCGCTCGACTGCAACCGGCTGCGACCCTGCTTCGACCTTCGCACCAGCTTCTTCTGGATCTTCGTCTTCGTCGCTGTCGCCAGCGTCCGCAGGCTGCATCATGACGACCTCGGACGTCGTCGACACAAAGCTCGCGTTCTTGTTGAACGAGCTATTCGACGCAAAGCTGCGCGTCTTGGCGCTCGAGTTGGACAGGAAGCTCGTGTTGTTCATCGACGCACGGGACCGCGTCCGCAGAAATGTGTGGCGGTTCTCAACGACCGCGGACGCTCGAAGGAGCTGCGATGCAAAGTCGCTGCTGGGCGTCCGCCGCAGCGCCGGTGTCGGGAACGCCGGGCGGGTGTACGGGTGCGTTGGCGTCTCGCCGTACCGGGAGGCCATTCTTGGAGTGCGGTGCTCAGCAGAACTCAATATGGCGCGGGCGCTGGCTCTTCACCTTTACCCTCCCGCTGCCACGTTGAGAGTGGACCACTTGGTGTGGACGCCTTTGCATCCCATTCGTCGAGCCAGCGCGCCTGTGCGCCAATCCGTAGCGTTTTTGTTGAAATCACGTGCGCTGATTGGCTATTGTGTTGCCGGCTTTCTCCTCGGTGGTGGTGCTGCGAGGTGCTCGCAGCCCTCGAATGCCACCGGCCCTCGTGACCGTAAGCACGTGTATGTCTACGCCGTTGCTATATAGAGACATAGACGGACGCAGTCGTTCGAGTAAGGGGACTGCCAACCCATGACAAAAACATGCTATCGAAGCCCGGATCCGGACCACCGCCACAGCTGCACCTGGTATGGTAATCATCCTCACTGCTTCTCAGTCCGACAAGATGCATACAATTCATTGGTGTAGCTGATGCTGGTGACCCACCATGGTGGTGCGCTTCAGCCGAGGACTCTTACTCGTGTCCTGCGTAGTTAGTCAATTGCAACGACTAAATATATTCGACGCAAATCGACCATACAAACGTCAGGACAATACAAAAATGTGTGCAAATCACCCGCAGCGAATGACGTGGCGGCAAGGTGGCATACTGACATTTCATTGGTTAAAATATGTGTGCAGTATTTTTAACATCTCACATAGAGATATCAAGATATTTTAATACAAACGCGCAATGCACGCGAGCGAGGGGCAATGAACAGCATTCAAGTGACTGTGACGAACGGACGATGGAAGCTGTGGTCGAGGAAGCCGAGCTCTTGTACCGCCGCCAGCAGGGCCGCCCGACGTACATCACGACCGAGCACCGCGGGCAGCCCGACCGCTTTCCTGCATTCCAGCTGCACGTTCCGCAGTCCTTCCTGCCATGGAACCCGCAGCGGCGGGACGTCGTCGCGTTCCCGAGCGGCAATTCCGTGCTCTCGACCTGCCGCTGCGGTGTTGTCATGGGCGGCGTCTACTACACGCGACCTGCTGTGCACGAAGCCGACCAAACGGACGAAGCCAGCCAGCGGTACATGGTCGCCGTTAAGATGATGGATCGACACCAACTGCTGCTCCAGCGCGATGACGTCGAGAACGAAATCCGAGTCATGCGGGAGCTGCAGCCCGGTGGCTTTACGGGTGTGCTGCACAACCCGCATTTGCTGCAGTGGGAGTGCTCGAACGATGAAGCGAACGAGTACATCGCAACCGACTACGTGTCGAACGGCAGCCTCCTCTCGTACACCCGCGTGCGCATGCAGGAGCTTCGCCATCAAGCCGACCTCCAAGGCATCCAAGAGGAGCTCAAGGACCGCATGGTCGCCGAGGTGTGGGTCCAGGAAGCGCTGCGCCTCTTCCTTGGCATCGTCCGAGGCCTCACGTACATTCACGCCCACGACGTCGCGCACTTGGACTTGGACCCGTGCAACGTCGTGATCGACAGCACGCTCACGCCTCGCATCCTCGACTTTGGCAGCGCCATCTGCCTCTTCAACGATAACGCCAACGGTCGTGCTGGCGGTGGTACGATGCTCATCAAATGCAAACCCTTGTACGCACCGCCCGAGGTGCGCCGCCACAACCAATCGCCGCCGCCACGCGAGCCCTTTGATGGCGCGGCCGCCGACATGTGGTCTGCCGGCACGCTCGTACGTCGCGCTTCATCGTCACCATCGTTCCTGACGTCGTTCTGATGTAGCTCTACCAACTGCTCTGCTTTGGGTACCCCATGGGCGAGTACGCGCTGCTCATGGATGCCAACTGGCGCCACAACCTGCTCTGCCACGCGTACGACCGCGAGTGCCTCCAGACCGAGTGCTACATTTGCGTGCGCGAGGTGCAATTCCCGCCGATCGTGTACGACCTCTTCCGCAGCCTCCTCAACGCCGAGCAGCCCGAGCTCCGCATGTCGGCGCTTGCTGTCGCCAACGCCCTCACCCGCGCGCTCGCGTCAAACTAACTTATTGATGAACGTCTTGCCGTCGTCGACGCGAACTTGTTGCTACTAAATTTTCATGGACCCATCCCCTTCCTGTCGCAAAGATGTGACGCAATGGGCACAGAGGGACACACGTCACCTTGAGCTCCTTGAAGCGCACCGTGACCACAGATCAACGACGACAAGATCGCAGTGCCATGCAGAGCGCGAGGGCGATAGGCCACACATCTCCGCCCGCAGATGCTCCGCGGCCACTTCAACATGGCAAGATCGGACCCTGGCGTCTCGGCAGTGACCGCCTTGGCGATGGGCAAGGCCACGCAGTACGCGTGGTGCAGTCCCACGCTCGAGACGCGGGCATGACGAGATGGCCTGGCGCTGCGTTTGACGAATCATGTCAAGCAAACTTGAAGTCTGGTCGTCGCATCCTCCTCCGCCGGCGCTTGCTACTTTATTGAAATCTTTGAACGCGGCTGCTGTTCCGCATACAAAACCCAAGGTATTTAATTCGAGTAATATCGAAAGCGCACCCACTACGCTGGAATTCCCATAAGTAGTACACCGGCGACCGCTTGCATTTCCGAAAAGAAGACGGTCGCGACATGTACTCGATCGACGCAGCCCAGGACGACGTGCTCCTCCCGCTGCGAAGGAGGCGCAAGAGCGAAGATGAGGGCGACGATGATGATGACGACGAGCTGCATGGCAGCCCGCGCCTGCCCCTCTGCTCGCCGCTTGCCAAGCTCATGGTCGAGTGGGACGACCTCGAGAGCGTGATCCTCAACATGCGCACGCCGGCGCAGAGCATTGGCGAGCTTCTCACGTCCCTCGAGAGCATCGACTTCTCTGTAATGCTGGAAGACGACCCGGAAGTGTTCTCGACCTTTGTCAAGCAGACCGAAATCGAGACGCTGGACGAGCCCGAGCCCGATAGCGACGAGCCGACGAGCCAAGAGGCCGACGACCAATCGATCACCGAGGCCTTTACGCTCCAAGACATCATTGACGCATGGGGCGACGAGTACATCTTTTTCATCTTGCTGCAGATTCCCCAGCGTGAGCAAGTCCGCCTCCAGACGGTCTTTTGGAACTTCTTCCACGCGACAATGCCCAACATGGACATGGCCAAGCTCTCGGAACGCCGCGTGTACCAGCTGTACCGCTTCGCCGCCAAGACGCTCGCCACGTGCATCTAATCTCTCTGTCAGTAGTCCATCTACCCGCTCGTAATCCTATCTCATCGTTGTCGTTCGTATCTTGGGTCTTGTCTTGGCTGGTTCCAAACACTGTTTTAGATTCTGTTTGCAAAAGATATCGATTACGTAAAGCACGGAAAGCGACGGAGGTGCGGCAGCCGATCGAGCGCACGCAGCGCGTCGAGGTACACGGTGTTGACGTCGCGCCAATTGGGCTGCAGCAGACCTTCCGTCCAGTAGCCGGCAGTGTCGGAGGGGTTGAAGCCGTACCCGCTCTCGGGGTTGAGCGCCCACATGTACCCGCCGCTGTAGCCTTGCTCCATCATGATCTGCATGCACAGATTGACGACGCGCTGGGATGTCTTGTGCGGGTGCGCGTCGAGGGCGAAGAGGCCGCCAAACTCGCCAAAGACGATCGCGTGGCCTTGCGCCCGCAAGTACCCAAACATGTCTTGGGCGGTCGCGGACACCACCTGGCGCAGCTCGGCGTCGCCCCACTCGGTGTAGTTGCGCAAGACCGTCTCGCCCGCCTTGCGCGGCGCCGCGCTCGAGACCAGAAACGATTGCGGGTACACGGACGGGTTGTAGTAGTGCGGGGCGTACACGAGCTTGGTGGGCAGCGTCGTGATCGGGGAGGTGCCCGCCGCCTGGAGACCGCCGCCCCACCAGTCGTAGTAGTCAAAGCGAGTGCCGTTGATCGTGATCGAGTGCGTCTCGGCGTTGCCCTCGACGAACGCGAGCCAGTTGGGACACTTGGCCAACATGCGCTGCGCGAGAAGCGTCGCGCCGCGGCGAAAGTCCTTGGGTCCGTCGTCGCCCCACGTGGTCTGCCACGGCTCGTTCTTGAGGTCGACGCCAACGACGTTCCAGTACGCGTCTTCGCAGAGGTTGGTCGTGAGCACGTCCATGGCTTGCAGCGTCACACTCTCGGGCGTAACGTCGCTGAACCACGCGTCGCCCTTGTCGGTGACCGAGAGGTAGTGGATGTCGAGGAGCACCGAGATGCCGAGAGCGCCGCACGCGCGCACGATGCTCTGGACCGCGCTCACGTAGCTCGTGAGGTTCAAACCCGGGCTCTCGTACTCGTTGACGACGTTGGCGTTGGGTGGCGTGTTCTTGACGAGCGCGTCGACGGTCAGCGGGAGGCGGATGCTGTTGAAGTTGTGCCGGGCGAGGAACGCCACAACCTCAAACTGCACTTGGATGAGCCGAGATGCATGCATATATAAAAAACGTACGAGGGACGTGCCGTTGTCCGGGTTGGCCCAGAGACCGAACGGGATGCGGAGCTCCGTCTCCATGCCAAACCTAAGGTGTCGTCAAGGAAAAGACACGAGAGAGTCGTACCAGTTGATGCCTTTGATGGCGACGGGCACTTTGGTGCCGTTGGGCGCCTGGGCAAAGAGGCCGCCGTTCTCGCTGAGGTAGTTGGGTAGCTTGCAGCCTAGGATATAAGGCATGGATACAATATGGCTAGTATGCGGGTCGCGTACCGAGGGGCGGGAACGAGGCCATGTTGGTGACTTGGCCGGCCGTGCCGGGCGTGCCGTCGTTGATCTTGCCATACAAGACGGGTGTCGGCGTCGGCGTCGGTGCCGGCGTTGGTTTTGGCGTCAGTGGTAGTGTTGTTGCTGGTGGTTTCGTCGTGACGCGCAGAGGGCTAACTGGCGTAGGTGTTTGCGTGGTCGCGGGTGGCGTCGGCGGTGTGGTTGTCACGAATATCGTGGGGCTAACAACTGGAGCCGCTACCTCCTGCTGCTTGGCTGGCGCCGCTGTTGCGCCTTGGCCGAGTACGAGGCCGAGAATGAGTCCGACGACGCCAATGATAATGACACCCAAAACGACCTTGGCTCGTGTCGTCTACGCCCATGGCTTTCACAACGCCTCATGGCCACACGTGAGTACCTTGAGGCAGCTCGGCACCGAAGATGCGAGATCAGCGTCTTCATCGGGCGACTCGTAGCCTTCAAAGTTCGTCCGGGGTGCCATCCCTTGGTGACGCTTGCAAAGATCGCAATGGAATCTGCCCTCTCGCGAAACGCATATTTAAACACTGTTTTAGACACTGTTTGAGAACAGTGTTTCATCGCATCTTTCATGCGCTGTTTCAAACAGTGTTTTGCGTATCCTTCGATGGAACAAGATGCACCCCGTGGAAGAACGAGCCATTTTGGAAAGCATGGAGACAAGCCCACGCATGACGAGTCCCCGCGGCCACCAGGACGAAGAAGAAGATGATATGTACGCGGGCCGGCGTCCTTCGGCGAGCCCGGCTGCCTACAAGCGCTACGAGTCGGGCGCTATCGACGACGACGAAGTTGCGCCGGGGCATCCGGACGACGCCGACCCGATCCAAGGCGAGCTTCAACAGATGCCAGGCCACCGCCCGCGAAAGAAGACGGCAACCGACGAGGGACGTCCTAGCTGCGGCATGGTACATCACGCCGTTGCAAGCACCCGCCCACGTTCGCATCGTAGATTTGGCGTCGGCGGTGCATCTTCCTCGTTCTCTTTGCCGGCTGTGCAGCAGTCGTCGCGTACTTTGTCATCAAGCTTGTTGCTCAAAAGTCGAGCGACTTGAGCACGGGCAATGGTGCGACAGTGCCCGCCGCACCGTCCGGAGCCATTCAAGACGGCGTTGGCGCGTCGGTGGATCCCGCCGTGGGAAGCAACCCGGTCAAGTACCCAGCGTCCAGTACGACCATCTCTCTACACATTCTTTCAAAAGTAACAACATCGCACAGAGTGCAAGCAGCCCAACTACGTGAGCTCGAACGGCAAGATCTACATTGTGGGCACGGACGGCACGAACCGGCCCGTGAGCATCAAGGGCATCAACTGGTATCAACTTGATACTGCGCGAAGGATTTTGATGGCCAACTAGGTCGGGCATGGAGACAGGCAATGCGATTCCATACGGGCTCTGGGCTAACGGGCAGAATGGCACCACTGTGGTACGTCGCACAGTGCACGCTAGAAGTGAGGTTTCTTAGTACGAGGTGGCGTCGTTCTTGGCGCGCAACAACTTTAACAGCGTGCGCCTGCCGCTCTCGATCGAGAGCATTTTGCAGAACCGGGTGCCCAACAAGGAGCTCATCAACGTCTTCAGCAACAAGGCCATTGACCCGTCGACGTATCTCTCGCTGCTCTCGTCGCTCGTGAAAGCATTTGCGTACCGCGGCATTAGCGTGCTTTTGGATTTGCATGTGCTCACAAACTCGGACATTGGCCCCAAGTGGACCAGCGACAAGATCAGCCAAGCGTCGTACCTCTCGGCCGTCGACACGCTCACCAAGACGTTCTGCAACGACGCGCACTGGAACGTGATCGGCATCGACCTCAAGAACGAGCCGTCTCAAATGACGTGGGGCGGCAAGACGTCGACCGATTGGCGTGTCGCCGCGACTCTGATTGGCAACCAAATGCTCCAGGGATGTCCCAACTGGCTCGCGTTCGTCGAAGGCGTCAACGACCTCCATACAATGACGCTGCCCACGGGTGTCTACACTTCGTACTATGATTGGTGGGGTGGGGGTCTTCAGAACGCCGGCGACTACCCGATTTCGCTCTCGACCGACAACAAGATTGTGTTCGCCCCGCACTACTACTCGCCGGTACGCGATGTTTATCGGGTTCGATCCTAGTACATCGTTCTGTCTAGTCGGTCTACCCTCAAATGTACTTGCTCAAGGACGGAACGCAAGTCGGCGACCTCATTGGCTACTACACAGAACTCGACAATGCGACGCTCAAGTCGGTCGTTCTCGCGACGGCCAACAACATGTTTGGCTACCTCACGACGGGCCCCCAGAAAGCTACGATTGTCCTCGGCGAGTTTGGCGGACTCTACACCCAAGACCGGCATGCGAATCACACGGTGCGCCGCGTGATTGAGAGCTGCATGGACATGGTCAAGCAGCCCGGGTTCGCCGGTGGGTACGTCTGGTCGCTCAACCCCGAGTCCGCGTACAACTACAACCCGTCCGACCACAAGGGCGTGTGGCAAGAAGGGCTCGTGGCGCTTGACTGGGTCACGGTCAACAAGCCGTATCTCAACGCGCTCAAGCAAATGGACGCGATGGCCGACTTGATCAAGTTTCCTTGTATTTCATAGGCTACCTGTAAAAATATCGAATGAATTGCATCCAATCACCTCGGCTTCGATATTTTCAAAACAGAATATGGAAACTCTGTCTCGCGTCTTCGCGCAATGTTCCATCATGCGAGATTCTTCTTTGCTTCGACATGGATTTGCTTCGAGAGATCATTCTTGGATCCGACTCGCATGGCAACGAACGCGCCGACGTCAAGGGGCTCTGTGCCGGATGCGAGGGCCTCCTTCAGTGGGGTCGTCTCGTATGGCAGGTACGAATCGGGCATGATCCCCGACGACGAAGAGACAAAGGAAGCCGACACACCTCCGACGCGCCAGGACCACCACGAAGTAGGTCTCCACGAAGTTCTCGCGCCGGCGCCGAAGGCTCAAGGATGCCTCAAGGTATCATCCGCCCATGAACAGGCACAGCCCATACCATGAGATAGACGCGACGTGGCAAGGCCATCCTCGCCGTGTCCGTGCTCGGTATCATTGGGCTCATTTTCGGGCTCGTCGTTGCCAGCGGCGGCTCGGACGGCAAGGGCGCATCGCAATCTACCTCGGACAATATGGTGGTCCCTGCTCCTTCAAGCACACAACCGTGGACATCAGGACCAACTGTCGCTCCGGTAATGACAAGCGCAACGCCGCCAACGCCTCGACCGCCCGCACCTGCGGTAGTTCAGCCATCCGCATCAACACCCATCCCTACTGTCACCTCAACACTGACGCCAAAACCAACGCCGGCACCGACGCCAACACCCGTCTTGTATGGCAAGATCAACGACGGCACGCCCGGCACGGCCGGCCAAGTCACCAACATGGCCTCGTTCCCGCCCCTCGGTACGCGACCCGCATACTAGCCATATTGCATCCATGCATTATATCCCAGGCTGCAAGCTACCCAACTACCTCAGCGAGAACGGCGGCCTCTTTGCCCAGGCGCCCAACGGCACCAAAGTGCCCGTCGCCATCAAAGGCATCAACTGGTACGACTCTCTCGTGTCTTCTCCTTGACGACACCTTAGGTTTGGCATGGAGACGGAGCTCCGCATCCCGTTCGGTCTCTGGGCCAACCCGGACAACGGCACGTCCCTCGTACGTCTTTTATATATGCATGCATCTCGGCTCATCCAAGTGCAGTTTGAGGTTGTGGCGTTCCTCGCCCGGCACAACTTCAACAGCATCCGCCTCCCGCTGACCGTCGACGCGCTCGTCAAGAACACGCCACCCAACGCCAACGTCGTCAACGAGTACGAGAGCCCGGGTTTGAACCTCACGAGCTACGTGAGCGCGGTCCAGAGCATCGTGCGCGCGTGCGGCGCTCTCGGCATCTCGGTGCTCCTCGACATCCACTACCTCTCGGTGACCGACAAGGGCGACGCGTGGTTCAGCGACATCACGCCCGAGAGTGTGACGCTGCAAGCCATGGACGCGCTCACGACCAACCTCTGCGAAGACGCGTACTGGAACGTCGTTGGCGTCGACCTCAAGAACGAGCCGTGGCAGACCACGTGGGGCGACGACGGACCCAAGGACTTTCGCCGCGGCGCGACGCTTCTCGCGCAGCGCATGTTGGCCAAGTGTCCCAACTGGCTCGCGTTCGTCGAGGGCAACGCCGAGACGCACTCGATCACGATCAACGGCACTCGCTTTGACTACTACGACTGGTGGGGCGGCGGTCTCCAGGCGGCGGGCACCTCCCCGATCACGACGCTGCCCACCAAGCTCGTGTACGCCCCGCACTACTACAACCCGTCCGTGTACCCGCAATCGTTTCTGGTCTCGAGCGCGGCGCCGCGCAAGGCGGGCGAGACGGTCTTGCGCAACTACACCGAGTGGGGCGACGCCGAGCTGCGCCAGGTGGTGTCCGCGACCGCCCAAGACATGTTTGGGTACTTGCGGGCGCAAGGCCACGCGATCGTCTTTGGCGAGTTTGGCGGCCTCTTCGCCCTCGACGCGCACCCGCACAAGACATCCCAGCGCGTCGTCAATCTGTGCATGCAGATCATGATGGAGCAAGGCTACAGCGGCGGGTACATGTGGGCGCTCAACCCCGAGAGCGGGTACGGCTTCAACCCCTCCGACACTGCCGGCTACTGGACGGAAGGTCTGCTGCAACCCAATTGGCGCGACGTCAACAACGTGTACCTCGACGCCCTGCGTGCGCTCGATCGGCTGCCGCACCTCCGTCGCTTTCCGTGCTTTACGTAATCGATATCTTTTGCAAACAGAATCTAAAACAGTGTTTGGAGAACGGGGAACGGTCAAGCTAATTTGAGATGCCAGTGGAACGCTATAAATAGAAATTGCGCGTTGCGAGCGTCGAGGATTCGCATTAGAGGAAATCCCGGCTACGGCGCAGTCGATGGAGCCGTCGGACGACCAGTACAAGGCGATCGAGACGCCCCGCGACGTCCACCGCAGCGTACTCGTCGAGGCCCATGGCGACGCCGACGACGAAGCCCATGCTACTAGCCGCAGCCGGCCAGCGCTCGGGGCCACGCCCGAGAAGAGCAGCGCCAAACCCGTGCGCTTCCGCGGTCGCCTTGTGGTGCGACGAACATGGCCACCCATCCGATGCCTCACGCTATATATGTGGTAGATATGGCCCGGACTCCTTTTGCTCGCTGCGATCCTGGTCCTTGGCGTCGCCTTGATGACGACCTATGGGTCCAACGCTCGGGACGCGATGCTAACCCGTCGCAATACGTACCAAGAAGCACTACGCCGGCGCCGCGCGATTGGCGGCCTCCGAGGAGACAGCGGTAGCGGCTCCGATGAGCAGATCGTGAGCTCCGATGGCGTCGTGGGGAATCCGAGCGTGTACCCGAAGACCGGTTTGAGACCCGCCTGTATACGACTCTATGGGCCAACATGACGTAGAATGCGCATTGCCCAACTACGTGAGCAAACAAGGCAAGTTCTTTGCCGAAGGACCCAACGGCGAGAGCGTCCAGATGGCCATCAAAGGCGTCAACTGGTACCACATCGAGGCTCATGTCAACAAGGTCTCAAGTCGCGTAGGTTTGGCATGGAAACCTCGCTCGCGGTGCCCTTTGGTCTCTGGACGAACGATCAAAATGGCACGACCGTGGTAGGTCTCGCATTATTGCTTGCGCGCTCAGCGGCTCATGACGACTTTGCAGTATGAGGTTGCCCTATTTCTCGCCAAGCACAAGATCAACAGCATTCGCCTGCCCCTGTGCGTCGCCAGCATCCTCGCCAACACGCCGCCGCTCAAAAGCGTTGTCAACCAGAACCTCAACCGCGCGCTCGACGTCACGTCGTACTTTTCGACGATCGACACGCTGACTAAGGCGCTCGCGTACCGCAGCGTCTCTGTCCTTCTCGATATCCACACACTGACGCCGACGCTCAATGGCGGCTGGCCGTGGAGCGCGGGGACCCCGTACACGCAAGCCGACTTCCTCCTCGCCGTCGACAAGCTCACCGAGGCGTTCTGCAGCAACGCGTTCTGGAACATCATTGGCGTCGACATCAAGAATGAGCCGCACCTCTCGACATGGGGCGATGGCTCGGCCGTGGACTTTCGCCTTATGGCGCAGATCATCGGCAACCGCGTCCTCAAAGGCTGCCCCAACTGGCTCGTCTTCGTGGAAGGCATCTCGAGCGCCCAGACACTCACGATCGGTCGCGACACGTTCTCGTTCTTTGACTGGTGGGGCGGCGGGCTCGAAGGCGCGGGCGATGCCCCCGTGCAGCTCGAGATTCCCTCGAAGCTAGTCTACACGCCGCACTACTACACGCCGGCCGTGTACCCGCAGCTGTACTTTCTCGCCAGCGGCACGCGCGCCGGGAACGTCATCACCAACTACGTCGAGCTCGACGACGCGACACTCTTGAGTCGGGTGATGGCCACGACCAACCACATGTTTGGCTTCCTCGCCGGCACCCAAGACGCCGTGCTCATTCCCGGTGAGTTTGGCGGCCTCTACGCGCAAGACTTGCACCCGAAGAAGACGACGCAGCGCGTGACAGACTACATGATCGAAGTGCTTCGGCAGCCAGGCTATGCGGGCGGGTATGTCTGGGCCATCAACCCCGAAAGCGCGTACCAGTTCAACCCGTCGGACACGGAAGTCACCGCCACCGAGGGCCTCCTTCAGTCCAATTGGCTGGATGTCAACGAGCCCTTCCTGCAGGCCATGAAGGCCATGGACTCACTTCCACACGTCCAGCCGTTCCCTTGCTTCCCCATCAAGAAGTAGCTTTTTCTTGTATCATGTCATTTATGCATCATGCATGCTTCCTCTGGACGACCCTTTGTAGAGAGGTTTAGGGTTTCGAACCATCGGGGATCGGGACGCCCCAGTCGCAGTCGCCTTCGATGCCGAGGTTGTCGCCGTGCATCTTGATGCGGAACCAGCCGTTCTCACCCCAGTATGTGCCCCACGAGTTGCGCCCAATCCAGTACTCGGTCTGCGTCTCTTCGTCAAAGCCCCAGCCAGCGACCGAGATTTCGTGGTTGGGGATCGGAAACCACAGCTTCTCCGAGTAGATGCCGCCATCGTACTGTTCAAACTTGTCGGTGACGTGCATGCCACACCCAATGGGCCCGCGCTTGTACAGCTCGGCCTTCATTTGGTTGGCGCCGCGCACATGGCCGTACTCGGCGACATAGTAGCTCGTGAACTTGGTCACGGGCACGCACGCACCAGGTGAAAACGACGAGTTGGTGGGCCAGCACCTAGCCACAGCATTTCCCTAGGACGCGATAAGAAGAGTTGCTTTGCGTACGTCTCGCACACGCCGAGGGCCGAGCATTGGCCGTCCTTGGCCACATACGCCTGGCACGTCTGGTCGGGAATGCCGTGCTTGTGCGCGTACTCGTACACGGCGCCAGGGTTGCCGCCCTCGCACGAGCCGCCGCCGTGGCAGTTGACGAGCACTTGCGGCGACAAGGCGACTTCAGGCCACGAGGCTACACCACACAGCATACTAGAACATGTCGCATGTTTGGGCAAGGCTGAGACGTACCGTTGCGAAGGATCGCGATGCGGTCCGAGAGGGCACTGGTCGTGCCTTGGGCCCAGCAGCTCCCGCAGTACTGCGGAATGTGCTGGTTCTTGTCCCACGTCACAAAGTTGGTGCCAGCAATGTTGCGCCAATCCCACTGCTTGGGGAGCGCGGCGACGTCGACCTCGTCGATCGGGCGCGGCGACAGCACCTTTTCACCACCAACAAAGTGCACGGGCGACCGGTGGTTGCCGCCGACGGGGCGAGGCCGTGAGAGCGACTGCACCTCGCCCGACCAGACAGGCGCCTTGATTGGCGACGTCGTCGTCGTGTGGCGCTTGGGCCACCCGTTGTCCGATGGGACGCCAAACGCGCAGTCGGTCTCGACGCCGAGGTTGTTGTTGCCGCGACGGAGACGGAACCAGCCGTCCTCGCCCCAGTACCTACGTCCGCATTTGAGAGGGTTGTCTCGGCGTTGGGAGTACGTACGTGCCCCAGCTGTTGCGGCCGACCCAGTACTTGGTGCCGTCGCGCGCGACGCCCCAGCCCACGATCGAAATGTCATGGTCAATGTCGGTGCGGCCCGTCTTGTCATCAATGACGCCACCGTTGTAGTTGAGAAACTCGTCGGTGACGGCGACACCGCACACGATGGGCCCCCGGGCGTAGATCTCGGCCATCATCTTGGCTTCGCCGTCGACATTGCCGTATTCGGAGACGTGGTACGTGTCGTACGACGTCTGCGGAAAGCATCCTTTCGACGGCACGCAGTTGCGACAAATGTCAATGTCCGTGCACGTGTTGCCGACGTCGTGGCCCGTCGCCAGGTACCGCTGGCAGCCTTCTTCGGGGATCCCGTGCTCGTGGATGTAGCGGTATGCGCTCAGGCCTTCGCCGCCGTGGCAGCCCTCGTCCTCCTTGTCGCAGTTGAGCAGCACCTGCGGCGACAAGTTGACTTGGCGCGTCACAAGCACGCGGTCTTTCCCGTCGTCCGGGTGCAGCTCGCGCGCGATGCGGATGCGGTCGCTCAGCGCCGACGTCGCCGCTATTCGTATAGTACATCTTTAGCATCCGGTCATGAATCGATGTCGCTCACCAAAGGCCCAGCAGGACCCGCAGTAGTGCGGCACGTGCTGGTTGCGCGAGACCGTGACAAAGTTGGTGCCATTGACATTGCGCCAGTCAAAGTGGTCGGGCAGCGCGTTCGCCGAGAGCACCTCGTGCGGGCGCGGCGTCAAGAGGACTTGGGTTCGGTTCGGGTGGCGCTGGTGGCACTTGGTGAACGCCGACGCCGTCGTCAGAAGCGCGGCAAGGGAGCCGAGCACCAGCATCGTCGTCGTCGGAGCTCGAAGAGGCAGCTTGGGAAATGACTGCGGTCAAGATCCGTGGAAGGCTCGGGCCGTGCACTGTACCTGGAGCCAATCAGGAGCCGCGAAAGATTGCCTCCGTCCAGCGCCGAGAGAAGATACCGGAATGTTGTTTGCTTCGGCGAACGACATCGCCGCTTCGGCAAACTTCAAGTCCGACCGGCCGCAAAAGGCTGGCGAGCGTCTGCAGTCGCTTACGTATTGGCAGGTTTGCGGTACGGCTAATAGCTATGACTCGCTTTGCAGTCGACTCTCGACGCCAAGCTGACTTGGCTCCTCTGGCTTGGTTCGACGCAGCTGGCGCCTCAGATCTTATCCGGATGTTGCAATGTGACATGCCAAAAGGAAGTCTGTTGATTGGTGGATTCGATACAAGGGTCAAACAAACGCACGAGATGTGGGAATTCGCTGGTCCAAAACTCGCATTTGTACTTGTAGCAATACGTCACTGTGTACGTAGAATAAGTAACTCATTAGTAGGTAAAGTCTTACCTGTGAAATTTTACATTTCACAAAATAGACGTGATGCAAACACAGAGTATGATACCACTGAGTTATACTTCTCTGTAAGGCAGATCGGGGTGATTTCCGTGGAGCCACTAGCTGAATTTTCCTACTAATGATTAACCACTTCATAACACATCAACTGGCGTAAACTTGAGTGACTAGCGTTTCAAGATGTCTCAAGTTCTAGTACGTGCAAAGTCGCTTTGCATCGACTAATTAGCGTCGCCAAGAACGTCATGACAGGCATCTCCATCCATACTCAGCAGGGTTTCAGAACCCTTGCACGCGCGGTCCTGCAGCTAGAGCTAGAGCAAGAGCTGAGAGCATTAGCATAGGACATAGCAAGCGTTGGACGTAAATGGCTTATATTTCAAAAGACACGACCAGGGTCTCGGCGACGAAGAACCTATCGAGCTTCTACGGCTTCTTGACGAACTCCTACACGAGACATGAGCAAGCGAGCGCCATGAGCGGTCGTGCGTACGGTCGTCGCGCTCTCTGCACAGCGGAAGAACGCGTCGGCGATCTCCTTGCAGACCAAGACGTCCTTGGTGTTGTCGTTGTAGCACTTGAAGCACGCCTCGCGCTCCGAAGAGCACTGTACGTCGTTGACGGGAGCGCTACAAACTTCGTGAGCGCCAGGATCCAGACTTGCGGAGCGTACCGGTATTGCTTCTTGTTGAGTTCGTCGACGAGCGCCTGGACGCGTTCCTTCTCTTCGATCTCGGCCTGGTGGGCGTCGATGACACGGACGTTCTTCTTGGCGGCCTCGGCTTCGATGCGCTTCTTGGCATCCTCAGCGCCCTTGGCGTACGCCTCCTTCTTGAGCTTGTCAATCTCTTCCTTGGACAAGCCCCTACATGCGCGTTAGCGACGGCGTATCTTTTCGCAGCGGTTTTTTCTGGACGTACGTCGGGGCGGCAACCTTGGGCTGCGCCGGCGCCGCAGGCTCGTGGAGGCTCTTGACGAGGTCGGCCGAGATGCGGACCTGGGCCGTCGGCTGCTGCTGGCCAGCCTCGCGCTCCTTCATGAGCTTCGTCTGGTCGTCCTCCGTGATGCGCGATTGATGGGAGCCCATGCTGCTGCTGTTTACTCAACCCAACAATACTGCGGCCTTGCCGTCCAGAAAAAACGAGCGACCTCATTCGACTAAGTTCGCCGGTCTTTACCGAGCGTATCCGGCTGCGTAAAGCGGCGACCTCGGCAAGCTCTTGCAGCACGCTCTCCAGATGATGCATCAGCCGGGCAATCGCAGCTCGTCATGGCCGCGTATGGAGAATCAGAGCATGGAGCCATTCATAGCAGCGCAGAGTATTGCCTGGCGTCCCACCGGCGCAGAGATTGACGCGAGCCATTGTGCAGCACGAGCTCGCCTGCTCGGCCTTTTCTGCAACGAGCTCGCGACGAGGATGGAGTCACATCAGATGGACGACACTATCGACTACATGCAGAGCTCGTCTTGCGATGCACAGTGCGAGGAGGACGCAGGACGTCCGCCCCTCGTGTACAGCGAGGCTGTTTTGATGCGATCATGACAAGCGAGAGCTAACTGCATTATCAACATCCAGCTATCGCTGCTAGCACTTGGGTCGGACGGCTTAGAGCACACCCGGAATGATGAGCTTGGGCACACGCTCGCAGTACTTGTCCCAGTCCTTGCCGTACTTGGCGCGGCAGCGGGCGTCGTCACGGAAGGCGCGGTCGCAGAGGAGGATCGTGAGGAACGTCAAGTAAAAGTACGGGACGAGCGAGCTGTCCCACGCGGGCAGGCTCCAGCACAAGGCGCCGAGGATCTCGGGGATGTAGTGGAAGTGGCGCGAGACGCCCCACCAGCCGCACGCGAGGAGCAAGCTCTCCTTCTTCTCGCCCTTCTCGGTCGTGTACGACGCAGTGATGTATTCGGGCTTCTTGCCCCAGACGAGGCACTTGCCGTTCGTGCTGCGGAACTCCATGCGCTGCTGGTCAGCCCAGTAGTTGATGTAGACCATGAAGCAGCCCGTGACAAAGAGGCCGACCGCGAGCGGCGTGCCGAGGTGAACCGGGTTCTGCACCAAGTACATCGTCTGCGACGTGTACACCGACGGCACCCACACGAGGCAGCCCCAGCAGAGGTAATAGCCCGCACGGTCGTGCATGATGTCGATCGAGCGCATGTAGCCGTCCTCCCACCAGAAAAACTTGGCTACGTACACGAGCTGGAGGCCGACGCTGACAAGCATCGAGTCGCTGACGTAGCCGAGGATCTCGTACTGCTTCCACGCGTACGAGACGATGCCAATGCCCCAGAACATCATGCCGGCACGGCAGTTGGTGAAGAGCTTGACGTCCCAGCCTACAGACACATAGGAATAAGAGATTGGCACCGATATCCAAAAGACGCACCAAAGATGCGCGGGTAGAGCTCCGTGCCGGCCCAGTAGTCGAAGACGATGTTGCCGTTGGAGCCGCTGTCGGCCGACGACGGGAAGTTGATGCCCTTGACGTAGAGGAGGCCGCAGAAGAGGAGCGAGAAGACGTTGAGCGCCGAGATGATGTGCGTCATGTGCGTGTACGCAATGCCGCCTTCAAAGACACCGTAGTAGGCGCCAGCGAAGTAGAGTGCGAGCGAAATGATGTAGCACGCAAAGCCGTTGGACGTGTACTCGGGCGTGTTGCCCGCCGGCGTGACCGGGCCGTAGACCGTCTTGCCCGGGATGAGCTTGATGAACGCGAGCTGGACGGCCATGAAGGTTAGGATGATCTGCCACGCGACCGGGTCGAATGGGGTCGGCCAGATCTCCATCAAGGTCGACCAGAAGCCGTCGGCCTTCATACGGTCGACGAGGGGCATGATCGCACCGCCTTCCGTGCAGAAGACGTGGACGAAGATGATGGCTGCGATCGGCGTCGTGGCCATGAGGAGGAGCGGCCCGATGACCGTGCGGCCAGGCAGGAGGCCCGCGCTGGCGTCGGCTTTGGCTTTGTTGGACCACATTCGAAAGCTAAAGTGACATCGGGCCTTTCGATGGATGGCGCCTCCGGCCGCTACTCCGGCTTTCGACGCTTTCGTAAACACGTTGATTGCGACGTACGGAAACGCTGACATTATCCGGATAGAACCCGTTCCTCTGTTTTGCTTGGCGACACATGGCACGCACTACGGCATTTGTAGCCGACAGCAGTCGCGCCTCGTGATGTTATCCGGACGCCGCCCAGCCTCTGGTTTATGTAGCAGATGACGGGGCCGTGAGTCACACCCTTTTTCTACGACCACGCATTTAAGAGCAATTGCCGCCACCACCGATCTTGTTTACTGCACGCACAAGCGGTGCATAAGCAATGACGTACGTGCAGCCAACGACGCAGCGAGGCCCAAAGCCTCACACACAACCTCCACACTCCTACCAAGGTACATAGCACCGGACGCCCCTTGGGCCTGGGCCCGCAAAATGCCAAACGACTTCAACTTCGATGAATGTCGCACGCGTCATGCACGAGATCTATATCTTATCGCATCGTGGACCCATGGCCACGCTCCGTGAAATGAGTCGATCGCCACGAAGGATGGCGTTACTCGGGACCAACGGTTCGACGTCGACGTACCTGCATGGTACTGGTACGTTCGTGCAGCGTGCTTATGCAGCTCGAGCCAAATCTTCGCCTGCCTTCCAAAGATACGAGGCTCATCATCGGGTATAAGAACTCTAGTGCGGGTCGCTTTGCAAATCTATTCCACGGATCCGACCATGCGCATCGTCCTGCTGGCGACAGCGGCGATGGCCGTGCGCCACGTGCCCGTCGTCGACTTTGAACTGACGCAGCGCCTCGCGACCAAGACGCCGTACTACTCGCAGGCCGAGCCGTTCGAGATCGAAGCGCCCGCTGGCTGCGCGCCTATCCACGTCAACATGGTCGTGCGCCATGGCACGCGGTACCCCACGGCCAAGGTCATCACGAAGATCGCATCGATCGCGGCCAAGCTCCAGTCGCTGGCATCGCCCGTGCCAGAGTGGCTCCATACGTATGACGTCGAGCACGAGTTCCCGTTGGCGCGCGAAGCCGAGCTCGCGCCGGCCGGCGTCGACGAGCTCGTCGGTCTCGGCGATCGCGTGCGGCAAAAGTTTGGTCTGGGATTCCAAGCCCGCTACGACGAGACGGCCTACTTGTTTGAGCACACGTGGAAGACACGGACCGCGCAGAGTGCCCAGGCGTACGTGCCGAACTAGACGCGGCTGCTGCCGTAACCATCTTGTAGGTTTGCGCATGGCTTCTTCCGGGGCGATGAAGCCGCCGTCGCGTACCAAGTGGCCCCCAAAGGCCGTGACGTCGAGCTTCGCTTTTTCGACAACTGCCCGCAGTTTACGGCTGCTGTCGACAACAACAGCACTGCGTGGTCCGAGTACGCGTCGTTCCCGGCATCGCCGTCGATGCAAGCCAACGTCGACGAGTTCCGCTCGGCGCTGCAGCTTCCGTCGCTGACGGCGAGCGATCTCGATGCCGCCTACGAAGCTTGCGCGTACGACTAATACCTCTGCAACGAGACGAGACGATGGCGATCGTAGGTTTGACGTTGCCGTGCACCACCGCCACGATCGGTGGTGCAGCCTCTTTGGCGTCGATCTCTTGGAGTCCATGGAGTACTACAAGGACTTGAAGTCGTACTACAAGAAGAGCTACGGCAACCCCCTCGCGCACGAGATTGCTGCACCGCTCTTGTCGAGCATGCTCTCGGGCTTGGCCGACGTGCGCGACAGGAAAGGCCAGCGCCAGGGCCACTTTCGATTTGCGCACGCCGAGACGATCTTGCCGCTAAGCAGTCTCTTGGGCTACAAGAAGGGCGATCGGCCGCTCCAAGCGGCGGCGTTGCAGCCCCAGCGCCACTTCAAGAGCGCAGTGGTGTCGCCGTTCGGTGCCAACATTGCTTTCGTCCTCTACGCGTGCGAGAACGAGGCCGACCACGTCGTCCAGCTCCAAATCAACGAAAAGCAGCTCCCGATACCGGGCCTCGACTGCATCTTTTGCCCGCTCGCACAGCTTGAGGAGCATTTCGCCCGGTACACCACCATGGACTTTGACCACATGTGCCAGTTGCGCGCCCACTAAGTTCTCGTATCTTAACCGAGAAGAATGCCCCGCCAATGCGCAATCACATCGAATGAGGAAGCAAAGTTTGCGGTGGAGGTGCTCAGCCGCCCATCGACGCTGTCGTTCGCAGAGGTTCCTTCTCGACCGCTGCCAGGACATTGGCTGCAGAGACGAGAGGCAGCTCTGAAAAAGCGCATGTCCATATCCCGAGCGTCTGACTTCAAGTCGCAGCTGATGCGTGTCCGCGTCGCCCCCAACTTCCACGGATGCGGCAGACGCGACGGCGGCGCGGACCTTCCACCTCGCATGGCCGTGGACGCGTGGACGGTGGCGGCGTCCGTTGTCACCCAGGTGCGTCTGTCTGCGGTTGTCAGCGTTTGGCCAATCAGTCGCCCAATGGCATCGCAGCGAGTGACAGATTGGATGTGGATTGGCTAAAATCCTACGCATTCCACAATTGTCCACGTCACGCTCACATGCCTTCCTCGTCGTCCGTCGCCCGCAAGCTGCCGCTGGACGGTCTCCGCGTCATCGAGTGCGGCCACCTCATCGCAGGGCCGTTCGCGGGCATGATCCTCGCCTACTTTGGCGCTGAAGTCATCAAGATTGAGCCGCGCACGGGCGACCAGTGCCGGGACATGCGCCTCATCGACGCGGAGAACCACACGTCGCTGTGGTGGTACTCGATCGGGCGCAACAAGCACAGCGTGTGCGTCGACCTCAACACGCCGGACGGGCGGGGCATCGTCAAGCAGCTCGTCAACAAGAGCGACGTCTTCATCGAGAACTTCCGACCGGGCAAGATGGAGGCGTGGCACCTCGGGCCGCAGGAGTTTGAAGCCACCAACCCCGAGCTCATTTATGCGCGTGTGAGTGGGTACGGCCAGACGGGCCCGTACAAAGGTAGTCGAGATGGTTTGTATGGCAACGTAAGCCTCGTTCTTGACTAGCCAAGCCTGGGTTTGCCTCGGTCTGCGAAGCGTTCGGCGGCTTCCGGTACGATACCTCACAAGAGAGACACGAGTCTGCATACGTGGGGTGGCTAGGTACGTCAACGGCTTCCCCGATCGGCCGAGCGCGCGCCCCAACTTGAGCCTCGGGGACACGATGGCGGGCCTCCACGCAGCGCTGGGCATCACAATGGCTCTTGTCGGGAAGGAGCGATCGTCGTCCCGCCAAGGACAAGTCGTGGACGTGGCCATTTACGAATCCATGTTTAACGTCCTCGAGGCCATCGTGCCCGAGCACTCGTACAACGGAGCGGTGCGCGAGTGCTCGGGCTCGACGATTACCGGCATCGTCCCCTCCAACACGTACCCGACCTCTGACAAGAAGCACGTGGTAATTGGCGCCAACATGGACGGGCTCTACATGAAGGTATCCTCGTATGGGTGCGCGACATCCACGTCATGCCATATCTTGTCGCTAGCTTATGGATCTGATTGGCACGCCGGAGCTCAAGGTGCACAAGACCAACGTCGAGCGCGTTCAGTTCCAAGCTGACATTGACGACGCGATCGGCCGCTGGACGGCGTCGCTGCCGCTCGCAGACATCTTGGTGCAGCTCGACAACGCACGCATTCCCGTCGGCCCCATCAACTCGATCACCGAGATGGCGGCGGACCCGCACTACGCGGCGCGCAACATGTTCGAGTCGGTGACCATCCCGGGCCACGCCAAGCCGCTCCAGATTCCGGCTGTGAGCCCCAAGCTCAGCGGGACACCGGGTCGCACCCAGTGGCCGGGGAAGCCGCTCGGCGCGGATACCAAGTGGTGCCTCGAGTCCGTCCTTGGCATGGCCCCCGCCGAGATCGAAAAGCTCCTTCGCGATGAAATCGTGTTTGAGGCGCGCTCGTAAGAAGGTACAAAGTAGCACAAGCTCGCTAAGGAATATAAAGATCGAAGTAGTGTTTAGTTAGTACATGCAGTACACGCGAGGTTGGGCATTGTAAGAAGACTCGTGCAGCGTGGGGCGGTGGGATACACCCATTCGCGACAGCCAAAGCTGGCGGTCGCGCGTTTCTTGGGCCTCTTGGAGACGCTGGAGTCGGGCGATCTCGGCGGCGTAGTCGACGTGCGGCGGCTGCGGGGCTTCAATGTCAAACACTATGTCTTCGTCGCCCACGACCTCGCGCGCAACGGGCACACCGTTGACGCGAACAGTGACCGTCACGGGCTTCTTGCGCTGCAACGGCGGCTGCTGCGTCGGCGTGACGATGCGAATGTGCTTGGACTGTGGCGAAGTGCGAGCTTTCTGCTGCGTGGTGTGGCTCTGTCTCTCGAGCGTCGGCGACGGGGACGACTGCATGAAGATAAATGGCATGGATGTCTGCGGATGCGCGGTTCTTGGTGGCGGTGTCGCCTCTGGGGACTTGACTGCCGTAGCGCGCTTTTGCTCTTCCCTCGACACGACGGGCACACGCTTGAATGCATACGGGGTACTGGTTCGGGACGTCGAACTTGACGGCGTGGTCGTCGACTCTGCAGCGACGTGGTCCTTGTCGTGCACTGCTCGTTGTTCGTGGGAGCTTGGCTCTTCTGTTGTGCTTTCCTCGTCACGCGGTGCTGATACATCGCGTTGAGTCTGCTGCTCTGGCACTTGCCCATCAAGCTCTGTCGTAGTCTCAGGCGTCATCTCGACGCTTGAAGGTTCTTGTGTGATGGCCGTAGGAAGCTCCGCGTGGGCCTCCTCGCCGGGCACGTCGGCTGCCATGGGCTCACTTGTGTTTTCTTCTTGCATGCTATCCACGCTGGCTGCGTCGTGTGCGGCGTCGATCGAGACCTCTTGCACACTGCCCTCGGGCGTTGGCATGTTGACGATCGCGTAGGCGTCGATCGCCGTGGGCGTCGCCTCCGTTGGCCCCGCGCGGGGCTTCTCCATGTAGCTCATGTTGCAGCTCGATAGCAAATTGGGAAATGAGCTGCAATGGCCATTTTGATATAGAGAAGTCGATGAAAAAGGCGAGGAATTCGCGAACACTGTTCTGGAACTCCTCGAAAACACGATTTGCCCCTCGAAACGTCTGGAAACTACGATATCCGGATAACCCAGGTTAGCGGATGCGCGTCTGGGCTTGCCACGTCAGCTGCCGACCCACGTCGTTGCCTCAGCATGAGGCCAGAGGAGAGCTTCCCAGCTCCAAGTACGGAGTTCAGCAACCCACAGACTCTGATACTGTCCGAGTACCAGAGCGTGCTGCCCGGCGCTCGAGCGTTCAAGTTGAAGCGACAAATAACTGCTAACGTTATCGTAGAGGCGCATTGGATTTGAATGGGTCATGGGTCCTGGTTGAGGTAGCTGCACGCTCGAGCCTCTGAGCTCCGTCGACGACTGCGACCCTCTTCAGTCTGTTGTCAGCGTCGACGCTGCCCATAAGCGGGGCGGCTTGAGTTTGAGTGTGCTTCGAATGGATGGTTCAGTTATCCGGCTTGTATCCGGTCGCGCAGCCGACAGCGCCGGCTTCGCCACGGTTCCATGCCATCGCTCCAGCGCGTGCGGCAGCGCGTGTTCATCATCGTCGTCGCAAGCGCCTTCTTCTTCACCGCGAGCCTCGTCTCTGTCATGCAGAAGCAGTCGTCGGCGCTCTCGTCCTACTACTGCTCGCCCGCGCAGCTCAGCGCCGTCCGGTCCTTCGCTTACCAGAACGCGACCAACCAGTCGCAGTCGTGCCTCTTGACCGTGCTTGGCCTCCTCGCGCCGACCGCTCTCGACGTGCAGAACCGCCCGCTCCAAGGCATTGCGACAAGCGCCTTGAACTCGTACTGCACGTCAACGTGCTACGGCCCCATCCAAGCGATGAAGGCGAACCTCTTTCCGCCCTGCGACACGATCGTCGATGGCAGCGTGCGCTCAATCGGGTCAATCGCCATGGACCTCTGTCCGCAAGGTGGTAACGTCGCGACGGTCCCAGTCGCCACGCGGCCGCCCAACCGCACAGGCACCTACTGCAGCTACGGCCAGTACGACAACATGTCGCGGGACCTTGGCCTCAACGACCCGAGCACGCCGTGCGGCGCGACGGCCAGGAGCGCGCTTGTACCGACGCTCATCACATTCGACATCAACACTATCCCGTTCAGCAACTTGACGTGGTCCATGGTGAATGCGGTGTGCGTACCGACGTGCGCGACGCTGCTGGCCAAGATGAAGGCGTACACGTACCCCGACTGCGATGGGCTCATCAACCTCGAGACGACGCTCTCACTCGCCGCGATTGTTCAAAGCATGTGCAATACGACGAGTCCCTACTACCCTAATGCTACTTAAGGGACACCATACTTCGTGGGACCTGCAACAATGACAGACTGCCAAGGATTAGACCTTTCAAAATTCGACGGACGTCATTTCTACTCGCCCTTGTACACGGGCTTGCGCTTCTCGCGAAAGGCTTGGAGCCCTTCGAGGCGGTCCTTGGTCGGGATCACTTGGGCGTAGCAAGCGCGCTCGATGGCCATGCCGCTCGCTTGGTCAACTTCAATGCCCTTGGTGATGGCCTCCTTGGCCATGCGGACGCCGATCGGGCCGTTGGGCAGAATCTCCTTGGCGAGGTCCAGCGCCTTGGTCAGCGCTTCGTTCTCGGCCACAGCGTAGTCGACCAGCCCGAGGCGCTCGGCCGCGATGTTATCAATCTTGCGCGATGTAAAGATGAGCTCTTTCGCCTTGGAGAGGCCGATGAGACGCGGAAGGCGCTGGGTACCCCCCGCGCCAGGCAAGATCGCGAGGCCCGTCTCCGGCGTACCCAAGAGGGCCTTGGCGCCCGCGATGCGAAAGTCGCACGCCAGCGCCATTTCGAGACCGCCGCCGAGCGCCGCACCTTCGATCGCGGCAATCGTCGGCATCGGGAGCTGCTCGAGCTCCGTAAAGGCCGACCGAAGGCCAAAGACGGTCGCGGCCGCTTGCTCGGGCGTCATGGCCATGCGCTCCTTGAGGTCGGCGCCGGCGCAGAAGACGCGCGGCACCGTGCTCTGCAAGACGACGACGCGGACGCTCGTGTCAAAGCGCACCGAGTCCATGGCGGCGCGCATCTCGCGCATCATCTGCTGCCCAAGCGCGTTGCGAGCGGCGGGACGGGACATGGTCATGAGCGCGACGCCTTCGAGGTCGCCCGAGAGGCGCTCGACGACGAACTCGGCCGGCGACGCCAACGTGCTGAAGCGCCCCACGACCAGGCTACGACCGATGACACGACGACCCAACATGATGATGACAAAACCGAGCAAATCTGCAATTGGCACGCCACAGTTTTGACACCCGGATACCGTATCCGGAAGTTCAAGTTGTCTGTCGCACGCCAAAGGGCAACTTGCGCTCCGATCTGAACCGGCATAAGCACACCAGGGTACCGCCTCGCTACGGCGTAGCTGCGACTATTCGTGCAGGAGGGTCGTCGTCTCTTTACTTTGGCATACTTGGCAGACCGCTTCTAAGACCCTTCGAGCTGGAATGGATGGCTGGTGCTTGAGCTCACGCAGCGACGCTGACACGATGTACAGAGCCTGGAAGCGTGGACAAGTTGTATCGGCGAGCGTGTCTTGCTAGCTGTGATGCCATCGCAGACAATTGTATCACCTGGGATGCGATGAAACCGGCGATGTATAATTAATCCCAACACCACCGGCCTGATGGCCAAGGTATCGCCGCACAACGACGAGCGGTTGAGTCCGATGAAGCAGTTCTCACTGCGCCTCGACGACGAAGTACGTTATGAGACGCCGCGCGTGCGCCAAGACGTCGCACCGCCGGTCGCAAAAGTGCCAGTGTCGCTCGACGGCTTCCTCCTCCTCGACACGTGCCGTGGTATCGCGTCGTCAAGCCCACTCAGATCTTATTTCATCTACGATCCTAGTCGAGTTTCCCGAGGAGGCATCGCGCGCCGACGTGAACGGACTCAACATCACGGCCGTCGTCTCGGACGACCTCCAGTACTTCACCAACCTCCTCTTCCTCGACATGAGCGACAACCAAGTCTCTTGCACTATACTCACACATACAATATCGAACTCAAACGACGGCGACGCTAGGCACCACTGGAGCCGCTCGGCGCCTTCCCCGTGCTCAAGGAGCTCGATTTCCAGTGCAACGCGCTGCACAAAATCGACAACCTCACGGGCTTTGAGTGCTTGGAGGTACGATAACGTAGACGCAATGATACGACTACTCAGACGCACAACCAGTGGCTCAATCTGTCGTTCAACTGCCTCGTGAGCAAGGACGTCGAAGAGCTCTCCAAGCTACCCAAGCTGCGCGAACTCTACTTGGCGAGCAATTGGATCACATCGGTGCCGCCCATCATGGTACCATCTCCTTGCTTTGCCGTCATTTGACGTCTTGCTCAGGACCGGTTCACGCGGCTCGAGACGCTGTCGCTCGAGCGCAACAACATTCATGGCACGGGCATCTTCCTTCTCCTCGCGGTCGTGCCGCGCTTGAAGAACCTCAATCTGAGCCACAACAAGATCTCCGAGTTCCCCGAGGTCGTACACGCTTGCAGCACATGGCGTTGGTTCTCAAGGAGCGTGTGGATAGAGCGCCTTGGCACTCGGGGACAAGCAAGGCGCCGGCTTCTACCACCTCGCCTACCTCAACCTCTCCCACAACAAGATCGTCAGCGAAGACGGTGCGCGTCCTGCCATCGCACTGAAGCACACGCGTTGCGCTAGACATCAGGGCCCTCACGCAGCTGCGCGTTCTCTCGCAACTCGTCCTCTATGGCAACCCGCTCGCCCACGCGGCTGTCCAGACCCAAGGTGCCCCTCCGCGATTGTGGACACGTTGTCATCTTGCACTAGACAAGACCAAGCTCGTGTACAACCCGGTGCCGATCATGAGCGAGTGTGACGGACGCGAGGTGGAGCTCAACATTGTCATCGCGTACCCAGAGACAAAGCGCAAGAAGCCGTCGTACAAGAACGTTAGCATCGCGCGCGTCAAGCAGGACTTGCTTCCGACGACGGCCGAGTTCAAAGCCAAAGGCAAGCGCGCCCTCTTCGCTGACCCTGCGCCGCGGCCCGAACTCGCGACCATCTTTCCGCCGCGCGTATGACGACACTTGCTGTGTGGATCCACGACAGGTTGTTCATAGCAACCACTGCGGCAGCACGACGAAGAGGCACCGGAGGCGGTGGCCGAGCCAGGTAGAGCGCAAACGACGCGGACGACGACGAGCCCACAGCGCGACGTAGACATGACCTTCTTGACGGGCGTCGGTCTCGAGACCAGCGGACCGCAATCGACCAAGGCGCGCCGACGCAAGGTCGAAATACCGTTCGAAAATGATGCATCGAGGAATGAACAGCGCGCGTAGGACCCGGGTGCGGTGCAGAACGACGTCCCGTCCTACTTTTTAGCGCGGTCGTTGGCCCCCAACTCAGAGGTGCAAGCCCACCGCGATACGCTAGGTAGAACCATGCTGCGTAGTCGCAACAAGTCAAGCTCAAGACGGCGATGGCCAACTTGCGCTACCAACTGACGCACCCGCTCACATCGCACAACGACGAGCGCCTCAACGACGACGTCTCGGCCGTGCGCCCCACCGCCGTCCACAAGGTACTACCACACCGTTGGTCGCTGCGGCCATCGCCAAATGACGTAGCTTCGGCAACGGAAAAAGTTTGGGCAAGCGCCACGGGGGCGCTTTGGTACATCATCTTCGGCGTCGGAGGTAGAGACCATGGACTTGTTGCGTAGCGTTGGCTTCGATCGACCAAGCCATCGACGACGTCAACGCCCGTTTGCACAACCGCGGTGCGCTCTCTCTCACCGACGTGTCCGACATGTTTGCCGTCGTAGTGGACGTGCTCGACGAAGGCGACACGTCGCTCAACCACCTCGTGCGGCAAGCGCAGCGCATGACGCGGAAACAGCCATGAGTGTCGAGCATATTTAAACCTCGTGCTAAATGGAATACCAAACTTATACACCCTACAAGACTAGGAAACACACAGAAGGGGTAGGGTATATGTGGAAGTAGTTAAAGTAGTGAATAGCAGCCGCCACTGCATCGTGTCTATCATTACGTCGACGCGTAGTGCAAGATGCGGTAGAGGAGGACGCGACCGCGCGCGTTGGCTACCGCAAAGTACCCGCTGCTGGGCGAAAACTCGAACGTCGAGATGTAGTGCAGCGGCGTCTTGACCGTCGGCCAGTTGCCAAAGACAGTTGCGGACGGGAGGTGCACCATCTTGAGCGCGTCCTTGGTTTCGCGCGACGCCATGGCGAGGATCTGCGAGTCGCTGTTGAACTTGAGCGACGAAATACCGGTCGTGAGCTGCATGAGCGACTTCATCGGCTTGGGCGTCTTGCCGTGCACGAGCTTGTCGGCCTCATAAATATTGACGACGCCCGAGTCGGCGCCGACCGCGAGGAACTTGCCGTCGCCGCTGGCCGCGATCGCGCCGTTCCCGAGACTACCTTCGTCCTTGACGCGGTAGAGGCACTTGCGCATGCGGAGATCCCACTTGTAAATGTCGCCGTCGCTGCCCGTGCTCACGAGGTAGTTGTCGTCGGCGCAAAATGCGGCCGCGCGCACCGACCCCGTCATCTTGAGGTTCCCGATAAAGTCGTGCGACCGCTCCGAGAGGAGCGAGATCATGCCTTCATCGCCGAGCATCGCAATGGTCTCGCGGCCCGAGACAAACGAAGTCCACTTGGTCTCGTGGCGGCTGCGCACGCGCGGAATGCGGTTCACGTGCCCGCCCTCAATGTCGTAGACGTAAAACTGCGGCCGCGGGCCGGTCATGACGACGCGCTTGCCGTCGTGCGAGAACTGCGCGCACGAGATCGGCATGTCCTTGAGGTAGATGCTCTCAATCTTCGGGTTCTCCGCGCCGTCGATCTGGAAGAGACGCAGCGTCTTGTCGAGGCCGGCCGTCAACATCAGCTGTCCGTTGGCGTGGAACTGCACCGACTGCACGACGGCGTTCGACGGGCTTTGCTTGTTGGCGTCCTTCATGCGCGTGACCGCGAGCGTCGTCGGGCTGAGCACGTCGCCGCCGCCCGTGCCGAGCAAGCTGGCAGCGCCCGCAAAGAGGTCTTCTTCGTCGTCGCTGTCGTCGTCACCACGCGCCGCCTTCTTCTTCTTGTCAAGTGCATCGAGATCAGCCCACGACGCGGCCGAGCGGCCCGACTTGAACCTACACGCAACAGCATGAGCAATCATGTCATATCGCTGATGCCAGCACGTACTGCTTCTTGAGACGCTCCTGGTAGACGTCGCCCGACACCTGCGTCTCGTCCTCGGTCTTGCGCAGCTTCTTGAGGCGCGATTCGAGGTTCACGACCACGTCGTCATCGTCTTCGTCGACCCACGCTGCCTGACGTTGGACGGGCGTCGGCGACGCGGGCGCAGGGCGCTTGGCCGTCTCGGCAGTCTGGAAGAGCTGCTCGTGCAGAGCGACTTCTTCTACAGCGAGCCTTAGCATCCTGCATGCGATGGCGGCGACGTACCATGCGACGGAAGCGTATCGGAGGACATGATGGCACGATCTAATATACCTTCAACTGCTCCTGACCAATTAAGGGCTTGGTTCGTACGCGACGATCGAGCGCGCTCATTGGCTAAAAAGCATCGACATTGCGGTGCTGATTGGCGGAAATCGCTATGCTAAGCGCCAGGCCATTGGTCCGTGCGGTCCAATGGTGTCCGAACCGACAACAATGGCATGCGTTTCGCAGACAATATGTACACTTCTCTACCATACACAGGTATGTATTAAAAACGTTGCGACCAGCGCAGCGGGCCAAGCTGTCTTATGCCAGGTAGCGGTACGTCGTCGCCGACTCGGGGTCGCGCTCGAGGTATTCGCGGTCGATGAGCGCCTCGATGCGGCGCTTGATGAGCTTGGGGACCGGCTTGAAAAAGGCGAGCTGCGAGAGCACCTCCGAGACCAGTTGCTGGTGCTGCAGCGTCTTGCGCGCCTTCATGATGCGCACAATGGCCGCCTCGATCGCGATCGAACGGTCCTCCTCGACGTGCTTGGGGTTGTGGCTTTCTTCGAGCGACGCCATGGGCACGCGCACCTTGCGCATCGGCGACGCAAACGAGAGGTTGAGCGCAAACGTGTCCGTGATCGCAATGTTCTTGCTCATCGGCGTCTTCGTGAGCAGCTTGTACTTGCCGCACGAGAGCGAGTGCAAAATGCGCTTCACCACGTCCTCCGAGAGGTTGAGCGACTCGCGGAGGTGCTCAAACGTAAACGCCTCCGTGTCGCTCGCGTTGAAGAGGAGGAGCGCGACGGCTTGGAGCGTCGTCACTTGCAAGTCGTACCACTTGTTCTTCGGGAACGTCGCGCGGACGGTCGCATTCCCGAGCGAGTGGACCCACTGCAGGCGGCGATGGCTCGTCTTCGAGTCGTAGTACATCTTGAAGAGCGACATGTAGCGCACCATTTGCGGCGGCAAGCTAATGTCCAAGGGCGTGTACGACGGCCAATGGCCGGTCGTGAGCACTTGGACGCCAAACTCAATGACGGCGCCCGACGGCGGGTTCTTCTTCATGAACGCATCAAACTCGGTCTGGTGGTCGCCGCCAATCGCCAAGTCGTTGAGCATGCCCTCCATCTTGGAGGTAAACTGCGCGCCACAGCACATCTTGAGCTTCGAGATCATCGAGATCTCGGCATCGTCCGACGACGAGCGCTGGTTCAAGAGGCGCTTGGCGAGCTGGTTGCGGTAGATCTCGGCAAAGAGGTCCTTGTCCGTCAAGTACGAAAAGACGCTCACAATCTTGACCAAGTACTCCTCGACCTGGTCGTCGCTGAGCTTTTCGCCGCCCGACTTGAGAATGCGGTCGCAGAACGTGCTCATGAGCTTGGCCGAGCAGTCCTTCCCCACGTCCTTGTTGACAAACTCGACAAAGGCCTCCTTGAGGGCCTTCTGGAAGAGCGAGTTGCCGCCAAACTGCTCCTGGACCACGAGCTTGTACTTGTCGTGGAGCGCGAGAATGTCCTTGATAAAGGTCGGGTCCGACGACGGGTCCTTGATGTTGTCGCTCGCAATCGCTGCCGTACGACGCTCGACGATCTCATTGCCAACGGTCTCAATGTGGCGGCGGACCAGCGTGGCGATCGGCGCGAGGCCTTCGGGTACGCGCGAGAAGAGACGGTACATGCGCGAGAGGTCTTCCGACTTGTCGTTCTGGAGCAGCGCAATGCAGCCTATGCAGATGCGTTGGGTGAGATGACATGGTGCAGAAAGGGGGTTTTATACCCGAGTTTTCGCGCTCGAGAAGGGTCTTCTGATGCTTCTCGAGGAGCTCAATCTCGAGCGCCCGGAGGAGCTTCGCTTCCGTCGTTGAGTGCATGTAGCGCGCGACGCGGCTCGACTCGCTCTTGAGGCAATCCTCCGTCTTGATCATGTACGCCGGCGTCGAGTCGCCTTCCAGCCACGTCTGCGCTTTCGTCGCGTAGTAGGCCGTACTGCGCTTGATAAAGGGCTCTTCAAAGTCCGTGACGTACACGTCGAGCGTGCCCATGCCCATGGTCTCAAAGACCTCAATGCAGTTGCGGAGGAGCGTCGTGTCGACAATCTCGCCCTCGCGCTCCTTCTCAACGAGCTCGAGCATCGCGTCGACCACGTCCTTCTTGATGCCCTCAAAGACCACCGACTTGAACGCGTTGAGGCCCGACTCGGCGAGCGTCGGCAGCGCGTTGTGCTTGACGTAGTAGCGGTCGAGGTACATGAAGAACTTGGACATCCACTTGTTCATGAGCTTGTGGTTCTGCCAGCGACGGTGCAGCTCGTTGAGTAGGAACTCGTCGTGCTGGTTCTGGAGCTCCGGGAGCACCTTCTGGCGGAGGTACTCGGTAAAGGTCTCGCCATGGCGCGTGTAGAGCTGCGCCGACCAGTTGTACGGCGTCCGCTGCGTGCACATGTCGTAGCAGATCGTGTAGATGGGCATGTACGACTGCGGCGGGAACGGACAGGCCGCGACCTTGTCGAAGCCCTTGTCGAGGATGTCGAGGAGGATGTCGATACCCTTGGGCTTGATCTGCTCCTTCCAGCCCTGCTCGAGCTCGATCAGCGGCTTGCTCGCCATGGCTTCGTGATGGGAGGTTGAGGGAAGTTGACACTGGCCAGCCCACGCGAGGACCTTCCGGATACCCGGCCGTAGTTCTTTTTTGAGCCACATACAAACACCAAGCTGCAACCCGACCGACCTTGCTCGCCGCCACTCCGTATCCGGATGCGCTGTGAGTGATTGTCGGATTGCTCGCTCGTCCCAGCTTCGCTTCGAGGCGCACAAGCCCAAGCCCAAGCCGCGGACAGCAGGCAGTGCTACCAGTTCTGGGGCTCTACGCGCATATGGCTGCTTTGCTCTGCAGCCTTTGCTAATACTCTGGCATTCTTATACGCAGTGCTGGCGGGCGGACAGTGCATGTGCTTGGCTCGCATTGCTTCCTGCACCGACGAGCTTGCAAGCTACGGAATGAATATAGCTGCTCGATAGCTAAATGGTAGCTAGCCTACTAGCCACCTGCGAGTCCGAGACTGCTCGTAGTACCGTCGACCTGCAGCGCTAGCTCCACTAGCCAACACCATTTGGCTTGTGTGCTGGTGCGCGAGAGATGCGGCAACGGAGTACGACGGCGAGAGAGCTCTGACTCGTCGCCGTACGTCTTTAGCTGGGAGAGAGTTGGTTCATCGAGACTCTATCAATGTATCACGTGGCGCGACCGGCTGGCCTTTTTGCGATCTTCGGGGGTGGCGGCTCCAAAGTCCGAAACTAATGTGTTAAAAAGGACTTGCCTAATTAGGTAGCAGCTGGCCGTGAGCGTGCTGTCTTCCAAAGCACAAGAGTCAGCACTGTCGCGACGACGACACGATGGCGGGCTTGAACCTGGACCAATTGACGATGGAGCTGCTGCCGGAAGATGACGATCTGCTGAGTTACTTCCTCTCGTCAGACGTCGCTACAGAGGAGCGTATCGGCGACCTCTCGCTCAACCCGTCGGGCGTGGCCATGGACCACGCGGCCTTGGGCCGCTCCGACGCTGGCGCGGCCTCGGCATACGGCTACGGCAGCTCGATTCACGGCGACCAGCCGTCGTCCTTCCGGTCCCACCACCCGTCGTCCAACATGGACACGGCGAGCACGGCCTCGGGCGACTATGATGGCCCGGACTCGCCTACCGGCGGCGACAACGACCTCGACACTGACGACGACAAGCGCCAGCGCCGGTATGCTTGCGCGAGATGCAGTTGCATAGCAACGTCACGTGCCCATGTAGGCTGGCTCGGAACCGCGAGTCGGCGCGCCAAAGCCGCCGTCGCAAGAAACAGTACTTGGAGCTATTGGAAGAGAAGGTTTTTCTTGCTGCTGCTGCGTTGGCGCCGAGTGGCTGACGCGCATGATCGTAATGTAGGTAGCGCAGCTCACGGAGGAGATCGACGCGACGCGTGGCGAGCACTTGGAGTCGGCCGACAAGACGCTCTCGACGCTCAAGTCGCAGATGGTCTTGTCGCTCTACGAAAAGCTGTCGTCGCTACCGCCCATGGCGTCGCTGGTACGTCCCTGCGCCATCCTACACGATAGACGAACCAACAAGCATGTAGGGACCCGAGCTCACGGACGAGTTGCGCAGCGGTGTCAAGATCATGCAGGAGCGCTACGGCCCGCACTCGGAGGTACGGGCAATCATGCTAGTCGGTGGCGATGCGCAACATGGCACTAGGAACGCCGCGCCGTTGTCAACTACCATTTCCAGCAGCTCGACAACCTGCTCCTTCCGCCCTACACGCGCTTCCTTCTCTGGATGAGCATCCAAGTACACGCTATCTCATGCCAACGTTGCGCCGCTCACGGGCCAGTGTAGGACGAGGCGTTCTTCTCCAAGATCCAGCCGGCGGTGGCAGCGGCGACCAAAAAGTCGTCGGAGAGCGACCGCAAGGACAGCAGCGCCAAGAAGGACACGCTCTGGGCCGCGCTCTCGTCCGAACTCGGCATGACGTACGAGCAAGAAGAGAAGATCAAGAGCCACTACAAGTACACCGCTCGCAATGAATCGGTCTCTAGGATGGTCTCTGTAGGTCGACCGACTCGAAGACGGCCAAGGCCGAGCGGCGCAAGATCGCCATGGCAGTGACGTATCTGAACCAGCTCAAGCAAAACATGGAGGAGCGGTCGGCCGCGGTGCAGACGCACGCGAACGCGATCTCGTCCATCTTGACGCCGGAGCAGTCGATCCGGTACCAGCAGTGGGTGTCGCAGAACCGGGACAAGTACCGCGCGTCGCTGAAAGAGAAGAGCGTGCACTTTGCGAACGCGCCGACCGTCGACCCGGACGGGAAGATCTCGACCATTCTGCGCAAGCCGGACCAGGACCTCACGGTCGAAGACGTCACGGTGCTGCTCTCGACGCTCTCCAAGCAGCATGCTACGCAGCAGGATGCATGAAGACGACATGTAGCTAGTAGTTTCTCAATCGGCAAAAATCTGTATCTGCTTGGACAATTACGGATCATGACCAGCATCGTCAGGATGCTTTCAGTTGATGGGACCGTCGTGGCACCCCCTTTTCTCACGGAATGGCCGTTTTCCGCGTCAAATCTCGTGCGGAGAAGAAGGTCGTTTCGGCAGGAGCGGTCCAGAGCCGAATTTAGACGACGCCCAACATGGACGTCGAGACGTCGCATGGGCGCAGCGCGTCGATGCTTCCGCCGGCGCCGATGAGCGACCCAGCCAACTGCGAAGTCCACACACTCCTGGCGATGGACCCGAAGGAAGAGGCGCTCGCGGTACATGTGCGATCGCTCTTGCGCGAGACAGACGCAGACGTCGCTGGCTACCAAGCGCTGCGAGACATTTGTCTCCAGACGCTCCAGCCCAACGCGCTTCCGTCGGCGCAGGTCGCGCACCACCACATGCCCATCACGTCGACAGCGCTCGCGAACGCGGCCCAAGCATCGGAAGAAAGCTCGGTGATTCAGGCCCAGAAGAGCCCCGTGGCCGGCAAAAGCAAGCACAACTACACACTATGGCGGTCGTCCAAGGCGAAAGAAGAGACCGAGCCGACCGACGACACTACTTCGCTGCAACAGGCGCCCATCTCGGACCTCATTGTCGTCTTCAGTGGCGACATTACGCCCGAAGACTTTGAAAAGGTACTTCTGCAATAGTATCAACTGTGTAGCAACGTCGGCTAGATTGATAAGTCCCCGAGTGGGATCAAGGCCGACTTTAACCGGGGCCGGCGCGGCCAGTTCGTGTACCTCTGCCTCAAGCGCGATGCAGGATCGCTCGCCATTGGCTCCAAGCGGCCACCGATCAGCGAAGTCCTTTTGCTCTACCCCGAGAAAGGCGAAACGCTGCCACCCAACTACGAGTACGTGCTGCGGAGGGGCGTGCCCGCCAACCTCCACGCGGTACGCTTCCATACCGCCGACCATGATCGGTGCGATCTGTATGTCACAGGGCGTGAGCAGCGAGAAGCTCTACCTGTGCTACAAGCGGTCGGCCACGTCGTACCTCACCGACATTGCGCTCATCGTGCCCAAAAAGGGAGAGAAGGTCCCGTACGGGTACGTGCCTCGTACCGAGCTCGATACGAGGACGCTCGCATTGTCCGTGTAGCTACATGAAGATTGACAAGTCGCTCACGGGCCAGTCGTTCGTCGACAGTTCGTCCAATATGGAGGTTGCGCTTTGCTATCGAAAGCAGGTTTGCAGCGACGACGCGGCAGCACTGTAGTCACCGTCTGTAGATTGGGCTGCTCGAAACCTCCAAGCCGCTGTGGTGGCAAGCGACGATGATGGACGTTGTCTCGAAAGAGAAGGGGCCAATGCTCCAGGGTACAAATACGAGGTGCAAAATGACGCTCATCGTTGACGCTAGACGTCCCGAGTGCAACTGCCAAGGACACGGAAGTGCGGACCGAGTCACCGACGACTGACGAGCCAAGTAGCAGCCCGTTCCTGCTTACGACGGGTGCCACCACCGACACGGACCTCCTCGTCGCGACCAAGTACCTCTACCCGCTCTTGTATGCGTGCCACGTACGCCACGGGACCGTCGCCCTGCACGCCCTCAAGGCGCTCGAAACCTGCCTCACGAGTGCGTTTGTTCGCACCAACTTGTACAAGGGCGACGCGACGCTGCTCCTCACGCTCGCGCAAACCGTCAACACGAGCTGCCAACAAGCAGTGCGCGACCGGCTACCGACGGCGATGGCCATTTTTGCGAGCGTACGCGTCTTCTGCGCACGAGAACGTCACCGTGTGTAGGTGATTGACGCCGAAGAGGCGTCCCTGAGCCCTCTCGTGCTGCACGAGTGCCTCAAAGCGCTTCTCTTCATCAACGACTTGGACGACGGCAGCGCCAAAACGACGTTGGAAGTCCTCATCCACCGCATCATGGACGGGCTTCCCGACTCGAGCGACAAGTCCATCGCTGACGCACCTCTGCCCGCAAGCAGTAGCATCGACATGGGCATGGCGTCGCTTGTCATGTCCCTCGCCGACGACGTCGTGACGTCCGTCGAAGTAGCGCGCGTGAATGAAACCGCCTTGAACATCTGCAAGGTACGCGCACCGACACCGATTCGCAGTCGACATGCCCCACACAGGGCCACGCGTCGATCTACTCGACGGGCTACTGCCAGGAGCTGCAGGCTTGTATCGCACCCGTGCTGCCCTCCAACGTAAGCGCCGGAATGCGTGTTGCTGGTACAAGCAACGTGCGTAGGCCGCGTGCTTGGCCTACCACTTGCTGGCGACCTTGTCCAAGTACGCGATGAAGCGCAACTGCTCGGGGGCCGACGACGTCGACTGCGCGTCGATCCGCAACACGCTGCAGCTGCTGGATACAGCGCTCGTCGCGGGGGCCAAGGCGTTTAAAGAGCACGCGTTCTTCGGGCAGCAGGTTCGGCGGTTTGTCACGTCGGTCGTGCATACGGCCGTCGTCGTGTGGTCGGAACAGGTCCTGAGCGCGTGTTTGCGCTTGGTGTCGACGCTGTGGAACCACTACCGGCGCCACCTCAAGATTGAGCTCGCGCTCCTCTTTGAGAATGTGTTTTTGCGCATCTTGCGCACACCGTCGTCGGTGGCCGGCAGCTACCAACGGCTCGTGCTGCAAGAGCTCACACCGTGGTTTCAGCTGCCGCACAACGTGATTGAGATCTTTCTCAACTTCGACATGGACCGCCAGTTTGTGCAGCAGTGGAAGGTCTTCGAGCAGTTTTGCGCCGTCTTGTGCGCCATCACCGAAGCGGCGTGCGCGACCGCCGACGACGCCGACGAGCACGCACCACCGATCGGGGTTGGCCCCTGCATCGTCCTATGGTCCTAATCGACGACGTGTGTAGGAGCATGCGATGGCGACGCTCCTCGCGATCCTCCGGAGCCTCATGGACGCGAGCGGCCACGCGCACTTGATCCTCTCCAACGACCGGACGCGCATTTTGTCGATGGCCAAGGGTGGGTGGGAGCTCGACGAGTCGAGCGAGCCGGCCGAAGAGGCGCCGACACTCACGGAAGCGCTGCCCGGCATTCTCTCGCGCAAGAGCTCGTGCAGCGACAAGAGCCGCGACAGCAAGCTCGGGTCGGCGTACGGCTCGACCGTGCGCGAGCGCAACGAGATGCAAAAGCAAAGCCAGCAGCTGCTCAAGCGCGGCATGGAGATCGCAGAGACCAAGAGCTTCAAGAAAGCACTCGAGTACCTCATCGCCATGGGCCTCATCAAGGAGACGCCGCGCGACATTACGTCGTTTCTGCGCATCTACCACACGTTTTTTGACGAGAGCGACATTGGCGACTACCTCGGCGAAGGCGACGAAGAGTTCAAGCTGCACGTGCGCCTGACGTATGCGCGCGCCATCTCGTTCACGGGCATGACGCTCGTCGAGGCGCTCCGACACTACCTCACGAACGGCGGCTTCAAGCTCCCGGGCGAAGCGCAGAAGATCGCGCGCATGGTCGAAGCGTTCGCGCAGTGCTACTACGACGACACACACGGCGCGTCCTTTGGGAGCTCGGATACGATCATGATCCTCGCCTACTCGATCATTATGCTCAACACGGACCTCCACAACCCCCAAGTCAAGAAGAACAAGATGTCCAAGGACCAGTTTGTCAAGAACAACCGCGGGATTGACAACGGGAACGACGTGCCCAAAGCGCTTCTCGAAGACATTTACGACGACATTCAAAGCACGCCGATCCAGCTCAAAGGACTCGCGTACACGATGGCCAAGCGCGATAGCAGTCGCAACGCTGACGCCGAAGTCGACAAGTTCCACGTGACGCTCTCGAAATCTGTGACGCAGTCGGAAGACCTCACAAAGGACCTCGCGTTCTCCAAGTACACGTTCCACTTTTTTGGTGTCGACGCGAGCATTAGCCCCGACTTGGTCAAGATCTTGTTCGAGCGCGTCTGGTTTCACTTTTTGGCGCTTTCGACGACGATTCTGAGCAACCACCAAGCGGACGTGGCGATCGTGCTCCAGTGCCTCGATCTGCTGCGCTACTGCATCTCGACGAGCCTCTTTCTCGAGATGCCCACGGAGCGCCAAGCGTTCTCCAACCAACTCACGAAGATCAAGACGTCGGCGTTCGTCAAGGAACCGAGCAGTGCGGCCGCGCCGCTCTCGCCATCGCATGCGAGTGGCGACGGCGAGCCCGACTGGCTCACGACGATCGAGAAGAACGCGGCGACGGCCGACCCGTGGACGGTCATTGGCGACATTCACGTGTACGTCAACAAGCTCAAAGAGTCGATCGAGAAGCGCAAGACGGTCGAGACGCTGACGTCGGTCGTGAAGCGCATCAACCACAGCCAAGCGTATCTGCACGACACGACGCACTTTGTGCGCGAAGGCGATTTGACCAAGCGCTGCCGCACTGGCCGCAACCGTCTCTACCGCTTCTTCCTCTTCAACGACCAGCTCCTGTACGCCGACAAGTCGAGCATTTCGGGCAACTGGAATGCGCACCAGTCGCTGCGCCTGCGCCTCACGCGGCTCGCCGACATCCCCGACAGCCTCCTCCTCCGCCACGCGTTTCAGATTCTCAACCCGGTCAAGACCTTTACGGTCCTCGCCGAGAGCGCGGCGGCCAAGGCCGAGTGGATGTGGGCCATCGAAGAAGCCATTGGCGAGGCCAACAAGAAGACGAACCGTATCGCGCGCCGCCTCACGCACCACCACGGCAAGAAGCGCGAGCACAACAACTTGATTGCAGAGGCGGCCAAGGCGGCGACGCCCGACGCCGAGTTGCCACTTGCCGCTGTCGACGTCAAGGGTGGTAGCACCGAGAGCGTCGAGACGGCGCACCAGCTCTGGCTCTTCCAAGTCCAAGTGTAGGCTCCACTCCATACATAGCTGCATTCATTGCGTGTCACATATTCGAGTCGCATCGCACCTCGGGAAGGCTACATGCGACGGTGGTCCAGGGCCGGCAGCTTTGCGCGCGTGCTATGGATCACGTCTAGGTCGACGTCGCCGAGCACAAAGCCTTCGCCTTCGCGCAGCTCGGAGATGACTTGTCCCCACGGATCGATGAGCATCGACTGCCCCCACGTGCGCCGACCGTTCTCGTGGACTCCGCCTTGGGCGGACGCGAGCACGTAGCATTGGTTCTCGATCGCACGCGCCCGGAGGAGGATCTCCCAGTGCGCTTCGCCCGTCACATGCGTAAAGGCTGCGGGCACGACCGCTAGGGCAAGCGGTCCCATGGCGCGGTAAAACTCGGGGAAGCGCAGGTCATAGCAGACTGAGAGGCCGACGCGACCACACGGGAGGTCCACGACAGGGACCTGCGTCGTGGGACCAGCGACGATCGTGCGCGCCTCGTCAAAGGCCGCTTGGTTGCCGCCAGGCGTGAAGCCAAAGAGATGCACCTTGTCGTAGCGGCCAACGACGTCGCCGCTTGGGCTGTACACGAGCATCGTGTTGAGCACCTTGGTGGCGTCGCTCGGACACTCGAGCGGAATCGTGCCGCCGATGAGCCAGATCTGGTGCTGCTGCGCGAGCTCACGCATGCAGTGCTGCATGGGCTGCTTGGTCGCGACCGGCGACGCCGTCAGCGCCTCGCGCAGGCCGACCTTGTCCGTCTCGTGGCGACCGAGGATGCCCCAGTACTCGGGCAGCACGACGATGGACGCACCCGCAGCCGCGGCTTCGCCCACAATGCGGCGGACAGCGGCCATGTTGGGCGGCAGCGTCGCGCGCGAGACGAGCTGGACCGCAGCGACCGCCACCTTCGTCGCTGCCATCGTTGACGTCACGTGGATAAGATATTCCCTCCCAGGCGGTACCAGCAATAGAGCACGGGCATTGGCTATAATTTGCTCTTCGAGCTCTGGTATTGGCTGATTTTCAGCGCGCAGTCACGAAGTCGGTCGCAGGTCGACATTAGTCGGTCGCTAGTCGGTTGTCATGACGTTGTTGCGAGGAAGTTTGAAGATTGTCGCGAGAAAGTTGCTAGTTCCTTTCGTAGTTTCTTCTATTACCATGACAACGATTCACACCTATCTAACCAACTAAACGACTAACTATTGACTACCTATCTGTCGACTCTAACGCTTCTTTTTCCTAAATACACCACCTAACCCGCGTGTCGCCTCGAGGTCGCGGATGCGCCGGTCGCGCTGCAGCATCATGGCCGCATACTCCTGGCTTCGCACCCGGACCTCGTGCTCGTGTCTCGTTTCAAGGACGCTGGTGGCCACCGCGTGGGCTTGAACGTCGGCTTGGCGGTTCGCGTTGGCGGTGTCGAGAGCGATCTGCAGCGTCCGGATCTGGTCTTGCAGCTTGCGCTGCTGGACGTCGCGGATGATCAGCTGCGATATTCTTGCTGCGTGCGCTCTTGCACGCCAGACGTC